CGGGCTCACTTCCCCACATGCTTGGGAGCCAAACTCAACCCAGGTCTCACATATGAGTGGCAGTGATCCAAGTACTTGAGCCAGCACATACAGGTTGCACAGTGTATACTTAGCAGGAAGCTAGAATTGGAAGGAAAGCCAGTACTTACAGCCAGGCACTTCAACATAAGATAGAAGCATGCCATTGCTATATGGAATGACTACCCACAACTCAACACATTAATAAATATAGAACCATTTCTTCTTTATTTTTTCTATAATTTTGAGCAGCTGTATTTTGAAAATGATTTGCTCATTCCAACTAAAATTTATTTTTTAAACTTATTTATTTATTTGAAAATTAATGTTAGAAAGACACAGATAAAGATCTTCCATCTACTGGTTCAATTCCCAAATGGCCACAACAACCTGGGCTTGCCCAAGCTGAATCCAGAAGCCAGAATCTTCATTCAAGTCTTCCACATGGGTACTTGGGCCGTCTTCCATTGCTTTTCCGGGGGCTTTGGCAGGGAGCTAGATCAGAAGTGGAGCAGCTAAGAACTCTTACAGGATGTCTGCATTGCAGAAAGCAGCTTTATCTGCAACTTTACAATGAGTTTTTTAATTTATAAAGTGGCTTATAATATGTCCTTATTGTTTTTAAATATGGTCTATGTACTGGTGCCCCTCCTTTTCAGTTGCAATATTACTTTCTTATTTAGTTAATTAGTTGTCTTAGTTTCCTAGATGGTCCAAACAAGTAACCATGAATTGAGTGACTTGAAATAACAGAAACTTATTCTCCCACAAGTCTAGAGTCTAGAAATCCAAAACCAAAACTCTTAAAAAAAAAGATTTATTTTTATTACAAAGTCAGATATACAGGGAGGAGGAGAGACAGACCAAAGCTCCTTTTTAAGTCTCTAGGAGAAGATTTTGTTTCTTTATTTTAACTATTTATTTGCTTTCTCATGGTTTCCAGCTCTGGGTAACTTTCAGCATTCCTTAGCTCACATCGTGTCACTCCAATTTCTACCTCTACCTTCACACAGCCTTTTCTCTGAGAACCTATGTTTCATCTGTGAAGAAACTTTTTAAAAGGACAATGGATTTCGGGCCCTAATCTGCCGGAGTCCAGCTCCAACTGAGTTCAGAACTCGCGAAGGGAGCGTGGAGTAGGCATAAGAGAAAATAAGTGGACCACTACGACTTCAAGATCATAATGGACAATGCAAGAAGGCTGCCGCCTTTATTTACACAGAAGCCCTCACGAGCTCTGGCACAGACTTTTGACATCATGGTCAAGTGGGTGTTTCCAAGAATAATTCTGCTGTTTGTTTCACCTAAAGGCTCTCAACAGAAGTTCTCAATAGAAGGTGCATATCAATCAATAACACATTCCTACAATTCTATAACTCAGTCTTGAATCAGTTAAGGGAAGAAATGCATCACAAGGAAAAGGAGAACCAAGGAGACCAAGGAAAAGCAGATCAAGCAAAGAATGAAACCCTAAACATTTATCCCTTGATTAGCACAATGTTGATGGGGAGAGCCAAGATAACATGAATAATAAAAAGGCCCTTTTGTGACATTAACCTCCAAGCTCACATTGATAGTAAAAAACAACTCTGCAGCAGCAAACAATGCCTGAATAGATTACAGAATTCTCAGTGGGGTTGTCCGGCGTCCATGCAAAGGAACGTGGAGCTGCATTCAGGTGGTTGTAGAGACATCCACATAGCCCTGCCATGCACAGGAAATTCCTTGTGGCACTGCCTGCAATGGAACAGTTCGCCACACACCTTCATGTCCTCCACACCCACTGCATGGACCCCAGCACTAATCTAGTATAAACTTACCTTGACCTATGTGCATACACCCTATTTCTACATAAGGTGACAAACTGGAGCTCAAGGTGGATGTCAATATGGCAGAAGAAAACAATATTCAACCCAGAACATCAGTCTTGCTAAGTATTTATAAACTTTAATTACCTTTTTATTTTTTAAAAAGCAATTATGATCATTTTTCAGGATCAATTTTCATCAATTTCAAAAAAAAAATCTTAGCATGACTTTAAGCATTTGTTCTGCACCAACTTTTTCCTGAGATGCAACATCAGCAACAAAAATGGATGGTAAGGCATCTGATTTTTGCTTTCAAATCCAAGGTGCTCCTATTAAGTTCCAATCCCTTTTTCAGTTTGCATACTTCATGCATGTTTTATGTTATTTATTTCTTAACTTTTTCTCAGAATTATTTTTTTAAGATTTATTTTAAAGGCAGATATTAAAGAGAAAGAATTAGAGACATATATATAGAGAGAGATCTTCAATCCACGAGTTCACTTCCCAAATGTGTGTAACTGCTGAAGCTGGGCTGATCCGAAGCTAGGAACCAGGAGCTTCCTTCTGGGTCTTCCACTTGAGTGCAGGGCCCCAAGAGCATGAGCCATCCTTCACTGCTTTCTCAGGCCACAAGCCAAGAGCTGAATCCCAAGTGGAGCACCAAGAGACTTAAACAGCAGAGCTGCAGATGGATGATTAGCTTACTGTGTCTCCACAATGGCCCCAAGTATCACAGCATTATTAATCCCCAAAGACCAAATATCCAGAAAATTTCTAAGTCTGTTTCTGCACAGTATTTCCTCCCTGAATCAAATATTTTCTGCTTCTTTGTGTATCTTATACTCTTTTACTGTGTACCAAACATTCCCCATAAAAAATCAGTAGAAAAGAAAATAAACAATAGATTCTTGCAGAAAAAGATATTCTCTTCTTCCATCAGACTCCTGAAGTTAGGTCTAAATTCAGCTGAGCTGCAGCTGGGAAGGAGTTGGGCTCTGTTGCAGCTACAGTTTGAGGCATTATTTGTCATTTCCTCCTGAATAGATGGACAGAATTTTCCTTTGTAAGGGATTGAGGATTGAGGATCTAGCACTGGTAAGATTTTAACAGAATGTTTTTTTTTTAATTATATGACGCAGTTTTATATGTACTGGGATTCCCACCACCCCTCCCGAAACCCTCCCCCCTCATGGTAGATTCCTCCACCGTGTTGCGTGACTCAGTTCAAGTTCAGTTGAGATTCCTTCATTGCTAGCATATAGCAAGATCTTATATATTTTTATTGGAAAGGCCGATTTACAAAAAGAAGGAGATACAGCGAGAAAAATCTCCCATCTGCTGGTTCACTCCCCAAGAGGCTGCAATGGCCAGAGCTGAACTGATTCAAAGCCAGGAACCAGGAGCCTCTCTGGGTCTCCCACATGGGTGCAAGGTCCCAAGGCTTTGGGCCATCTTCTACTGCTTTCCCAGACCACTGGCAGATGGCTGGACGTGACATGGAGCAGCTGGGACTCTAACAGGTGCCCATCTGAGATTCTAGCACTTGCAGGTAGAGGATTAGCCAATGGAGCCATCCTTCTACCCCCTGTAATAGAATCTTCATATTTCTAAGCAGAGCTGCTAGTTTTCAAATACCGGGAGAATCTCCCTACACTCTATCTTGACTGCATATTGTAAGATGTCCAGAGCAATCCAAATTTCCCTTAACTTACATTTCCATCTTGAATCTATTAATATATTCGGGGCAAAAGTTAACAAAAGGAATTCAAATACTATCGAAGTACTATTTTTTTTCCTTAAATTGCTTTATTTAAGTGTATAGTTTGTATTTCTAAGTTTAATATCAAGGAATGGACAAACAATCCCTGTTTTTCTCTGAGGCATCTTCCCTTTACATAATTTGCAATTTTATTCATTTTGATACTATTATTTTTTAATCATATGTAATCCTTCCTCGTTTGATTTATGGTTTATTTGATTCACAGCAATCAGAACCAGATGGCATTTCCACGATGATTTTCAAAAGTATGATGCTTTTCTAATACTTGTATTCAACTTTTTTTCCCTAGTGATGACAGCATCTAGTCAGCATTAATTGCGATGCCTCCCATGTTCACTGTGACATGATACAGGTAAACAGTATTTTATCCCATTTTCTGTCCTTTAGTCCAGAAGTCTTCAGAAGCTTTTGTTTCTTTTGTCCACTGATTCCTATGTCCTGAAGCTTATTGATCATTAAGATTTTTATTTCTATCGTATTATTATTTTCTCTTAAAATGCTTTCTTACATTTTAAACTCCTTCTTTTAAAAAAAAAAACTATTTATTTATTTTTATTGGAAAGGCAGATATACAGAGAGGAGGAGAGACAGTGAGAAAGATCTTCTGTCCGATGTTTCACTCCCCAAGTGTCCGCAATGGCTGATGCTATGCCAATCCAAAGCCAGGATCCAGGAACCTCTTCCAGGTCTCCCATGTGGGTGCAGGGTCCCAAGGCCTTGGGCTGTCCTCAACTGCTTTCCCAGGCCACAAGCAGGGAGCTGGATGAGAAGCTGGGCCTCCAGGATTAGAACCGTCTGCCATATGGGATCCTGGTGCGTTCAAGGCGAGGACTTTAGCCGCTAGGCCACGCTGCGGGGCCCAAACTCCTTTTTATCAACTCTTATTTGGCCTTGGAACTGTCTCTTCTACAGACACGCCTTACAAATCCTAAATTTTTTTGCAGACCAGTTTCCCACCAAGCACCTTTTGTCAGAGTATTTTCTTTTTAACTTTGTCGAAGGTCTGAAAACCATTCTTTATCTGTACAAACGGACTCAAGTAGAAATGGCCCAACCACTTCCACAACCAGGGAAAAAGGCAGAAAATTGTTTGGTAGAAAATTTGTACTTAGTTTAATTTGAGTTTTACAAAGAACTCACCGCAGTTCAGGTCTGCTTCCATTTGGATTCCAGAAGAAAAACAACAGTTTTGAAGACTACTAGAGACGCATAAACAAAGTGAAATACAACAAACACTGATTATTTGGCGGGTCATGGAGAAATCTCATAGAAATGCTCCGGAGAGCACATGCTAAAGGTGATTTGTAAAATGTGAAAGGCTGGATTATTATTCAGACTGCTTCCTGAAATTCAGGTTATGTCCTTAAAATAAAGTAGAGAAAACTACAATGTTGTATTCCTTTGGTTTTATTTTCTAGGATAAAAAAGTATAAATGTTTTTAAATAGTCCTCTTGATGATAGCCTTTAAAATATCTTACCCAATGGCTTATTTCGTGTCTCTTGATTATCAGTATTCATTATCACTGTCCGTCTTGATCAACTGGTTGAAAATTACAGAGTGGAATAAGCCACTTTTGTGAACCTTTCCCCCAATCCCTGAGAATAACAATAGTCACAAAAATATAGTCAGCCTCTCATTAAAAATCTCTGGAAAGTAGTGGTGTTCGCTCATTGTTAACAGGGCAGGGAGCGGTGTCATAGAGGGTTAATCCATGTAAATTGGTTTCCACCCGTAAAGAAATTTTCTGGAACAGAAAAGAAAATTATATACAGAAATTTGCTCCTTGAAGAGAAAAAAATTTACCTTTTCATTATGTTCAGCAGACTACTTTTTGAAGATGAGAGATGTAAATCATTTCTAACAGGTAATGGCAGTGACAGAGCTGTTGAACTGCCAAAGGAGTATCAACAATCTGAGAAAACCACGCTTCTCTACTTTAGGAAGTTACTTGTTTTTCCTTTCTTTCTACTAAGAGAAATTTAGTAAATTTAGTAAGACTAAATTTTAGGAATGATCTATACATTTTTAAAATTCACTTCATAATTCCATTTCAGAGCTAAATCTTGCTAGCATACACTATTGCAAACACACATAACTCACTCTTACCAATTTTTAAACAATTTTTGAAAAGCTTAGAGATGTGTCTATAAGATATTCTCTTATCCCAACTGACAGAAGTCTGATTCCATTAATTTGATAGCTTTTCTTACCTGAAAATCACGAATGTAAGTCAGGAAGAAGCCAAAGAAGGAAAATGACATAGACCATTCTGCTGCAGTAGTGATCATGTGAAGCACGTAACCCTTGAAGCACAGGGCGAAAGAACAATCCCGTGAAATTTCATTGAAATCGTCTATAGCATTTTTTAAATGAAAATACCCACATTCTTTAATAATCAGTCTGTCCATTGAAAGTCAGCCTTCCATTTGTGAAACATATCTCAGGAATTTAAGAGCACACACCAGGAATTCCCCCACATGACACCAGTTATCTCAACTTCACTGAGAGCAAACAAAATTGCCATTTAAATAAACAACAATGACAGAACCAGAGAATTCTAACTTTACAATCAGGGAATTATGGTCCTTCCCCAAGCAAAATGCATTCATAATGTGCCACCAAGAAAAGTTAACCAATGCTCACTATAAACTCAGTAGGTATAAATAAAATCTGTATTTAAAGTCTAAGAAGTCTACTAAATCATTTTGTAATTGTATTCTGACAAGCATATCCTATTCAGAGATGATTCTTAAACAAGTGACTTACAACCAAAAGCCATAAGGTGGGTTGTAAACTTGTTCCTCTTCTGTTTATTCTTAGGACTAGAGATGCTGTTTCTGTTCGGATACACAGTGCTAGTGGAACGCACATGCAGAGCTCACAATAAACACCCAGATGATGAAAAGCAAGAGAAGACATCCCCTCCATTCAGGAAGCAAGGACTCTAACAATCAAAGAACTCAGTTGGGTATCCTGTGTACTATCCCCACAACTAGGGAGGTCACTATCCAAGGAGACTCTTTGGCCATCACAGTCCTCTCCATGCGTACCTACCCAAAATATTCACCAACACACGTGACATGATAATATGATGACTGCACAAAAATGCTACAATTTTAAGAAAAAAAATCCTAAAATTTAATTGATTATTCCACAGAGAAAAAGCTTCACTGTTATTGATAAAATGGGGAAAAAAATCAAAACCAATCAAGTTTTACAGACTAAGTTCTTACTTTGTCCTCAGGATTCCAATGAAGTTTCTGAACTAAATCAATGCCAAAATTGCCACTGTACAAAATTGACGAACAAGTCAGCACTATAAAGAAAAAAACAAGTCAAGGAAGAATTTCACATAAAATCTGTAAATTTAAACTAGCTCCTAAACAAAACTCACTTTAAAGGTCCCACAGGGAAAATCTAACATTTGTTGCCAATCTGCACAACCACTTCATTAAAGACTTATTATTCTCATAGAACAAGAGCAAAACTGAAAATACTCCCAATCACAATGAAGTAGCTCTCAGTCAATCCCCTCCTCCTTACTTGGCAAAGCAGAATTTCTATCATAAATGTCCCACATAGTTGTTCTTAGAGATAGTCATAAATCATCCCTCAATTGTTTGACGGGAATATGATTAGCTAAATATTATCTTTGTTCCTGGCTCAGACACTATAATCCTATGTACAATCTGAATATCATGTTTCAAATGTTTTCATTTAGAATGACTCACCTAAGGATCTCTCTCACCAGAAAGACAAAAATAAAGACAAAAAGCTTGCTTACGACATGCCAACAATGTTCATTTCAATTATTCAGCTCCTGACAGTGAAGGATACTGCTAAATGCGCTTACTGCACACCAGATGACCAACAGCAGTCTGATCCAGAAGACTTGAATGCCATGAATTTTGGGCTGCATTTGATAGGAGAGGATGGTCTGGACAAACATATACAATGAGCCCATCCCGAAGGTGAGCACAGCTCCACTGACGTGTGCAGCGAAAAGGGTTGTTTTCTGAGAAGCACAAAGAAGAATCAGTGACAGAAACTCACAACACATGGACAATACGCAGTATTAACAGCACAAGGCAGAAGTTTCAAACGGACATTCAGTGAGTGAATAATCTCTTCAAATTACTATAAAACCAAACTATCTCACTGTTTCAGATGCCAGCAAGGGAAACGACTTTTTTTTTTGTTAAGTTGTCAAACAAGGTGTGTATGTGGGCGCCAATTAGATCCCAGATACTGTTTTAAGTCTCCAAATACACTAGAAAACAAAACAAAAATCTAGCTCTAATGGAGGTTCCATTCTGGTGAAAATGCACAAAAATGAATTCTGTTTAGGAATAAGAAATGCCACAATGTATTAGGTGGTGATAATGGCTAAAAATAGTAGTGCACATTAAGGACTGTTAGTACGCTCGGGAGTGCTGGTTTCAGTGAGTTCCTATTCAAACGCAACTTAAATGTAATCTACAGACTCAAGAAATGAAACATTCTCCTTTAACTCTAACCTGCATGTTTCCTTTCTTACAGGCATCCATTTGCATTTTACTTTTTAATACAACACATACTCTCTGGATAAAAGCGACAACACAGCACAATGAAATCCCAAAATCAAAATATTTTTACTTCAACAATTCTATTTTTCTTAACTATGTCATTTATATTTCCTTTGGTTGAGAAGGTACTTTATAGCACTTGGCACACACAGCACGTAATGACTGATACAAGAAAAGAGAGGTTTTAACTTTTCTATTTTCATAATCAACTGTGCTAACTTAAATACAGGATCCATTTTTTCAAATTGGAGGTTGTGAGAGTCTTACTATAAAGCATGGGAAGATTATAATTTATTTGCCAGTAGCATTGGTTACTGTTTTGACCAGAAAAGTCTACTTGTGTATTGTTTAGTATGCTTTAACTCACGATAAGATTGGGATGAGAAATAAAACATCTTTTTGAATAACAGAGAAAAGTAAATATTCAGCACTTATAAACCACAATGTAAAACAGCAGTATCTTCTTGACTCATATAAATTTATCTCTTCACGCAAATAAAGGCTAAAAGACACAGGCAAAAATGAAAACAATTATTTTATGGGGAAGGGAAAGAATGTGAGCAAATTCTCTGTAAAAATATTTTCAAATATACTCATGTTAACAAAAGTAAATAATAATATGGTACAATCAATCCCTATTTGTCATTAGTATACAGTTCTATCAACAAAATCCTGTGATTCACAAAGCAAAAAATAAACAATGAGTGGAGAGCAGTTACTATACTTTTTTTAAAAATTATTTTTTATTTTTGTTGGAAAGTCAGATATACATTGAGGAGGACAGACAGCCACTAGGCTACTGGGCTGGGCCCAGTTACTATTTTTAAATTGTAACAGTTACTAGAAATGGAAGCAATAAAAAAATGGTTTGAACCAATAGAATTTCTTGTCATTATATGCAGTTTCATCATTTTAGAAACTAGAGAAGCACAGAGAAAGTTTTTGAAATGGACAAAAGAGATCACTGAATTTTTCCCCTCGTTATGCTAAAGTCTCCGGTGATTACCAGGCGGTGAGGGAGTGAGCTTCCATTTGGCTTTGTCTAGGTTATGTGGCGAAGATAACTTCCGTCAAAGATCGAGTTACACGCAGAGGCAGAAGCTAACCAATGGGAAGCTTAGTAGCCATGCGAATAATCCCTCCCCAGAGAGCCACACCCCGGTGCAGGTGCGAGTGGTTGTCACCCTGCGGCTGTGAACAGTTCTCCCAGTTGCGCATCCGTTCCTACATGCAGCATCTCTCAGCTATCCCCACATTCCTGTACTCTTGCTACTCTCCTGAATTGGTCTGTAGCATCTACTCTTTAGCTCATCAAGTAACACATCAAATAAAAGTTTGACACATGCACAAAATCATTACTTTGTCCTTTGAAAAATACAACATTTCATTTAAAAACAAAGACAAAAACGTGTCCCTTCACAAAACAAACACAAGAAAAAATAACAGAGGGAGGTCTCATCAGGAGTAAATCTCAAACACAGATTTTATATGAAAATTTAGGAACTAATCTCCTTCTTACTTATGATTATCCCAAGTTTCCTTGAAGTTAAATTTTCTCGGCAGAAAGAATGGCCCCCTGATAACAAAAACACATTGTTCTGTGACAACACACCAAGGAATATCCACGAATTCCTGGCATCCATCAATACCTGGAACACATCCTTTCTCTGAACCCCCAGAAGAGAACCGATCCTACCAACACCGTGAACCACATTCTGATTCCTCCATCTGAGGCATCTCGTGATGGCAGCCCCAAGGTCAGTAATATAGATTTCTGCTTCGCAGGCCTTCCCAAGTCTCAGCAAGGACACATCTCTAAGTGGGCAGAATTCCTCTCAGCTGACACGGAGGACACTTATACACACAACTGTTTTCAAAGAAATTTCAACTCGCACTTTAAACTTAGGTTTTCAAATACCATCTCTCTTAAATGCAGATAACTGCACTAATAAGAGAATTTCTTTTTCCATTCTGTGTAGTCCCTTTGACCTCTCTCAAGTGCCAAAATAATGAATGAATACATGTTTGTGCTAAATACTATGCCAAGCAGGTGCTGGAGATAGGATGGTGAACAAAACCACTGTAGTTATAATCAATAAAAAAGGGTCACCTAAAACATTTAAATATTATTTCAAATCACTGATACAAATCGAGACTGTAATAGAGCAATGAAGGATCAGAAGCTTCAGAAATTTTTTTAAAAAAAGAAACTTGAAACATAAACATTGGAGAGGACAGGAAAGGCTTCCCTGAGAAAGTATGATCTGCCTTGAGATCTTCAGAAACCGAGATTTGGTCAGGTTTGGGGTTTGTCGTATGCTCAAGCACAGCATGTGAAAAAGAGTTAAATAAGCCTGTCTTATTCAAGGAGCCAATGCTGTAAACTTCAGACACATTAAGGGGAGCAACGATGCAGAAATGATGCAGAATAAGTCTGGAGAAGTAAACAGGATTCAGATCATATTGGATCTTAGTGTTATTTTCCATAGTTGGATAGCTTTTCAAATTGTATTTAATCTTCATTTTATCTTTGTTCATATAGATATAAAGTGTCCAGGTTTAAGTAAACATATAAAGAAACACAGTGAGATATCTACACACTTCCAAAATATTACTTTGGAATTACATTTTCAAAATACAGAAAGAATTGACAAAGGGAAGAGATGAGGGAATACAGACAAACCACTGAGGAAGCTAAGGCAGTGGTCCAGATATGAGATGATGAAATCTGGGATGGTGTCGTGACACAGCAGGGTAAGCCAAGCCAGGCCTAGCATCCCTTCCAGCATAGGTTCAAGTGCCAGCTGCTCTGCTTACGATTCATCTTCCTGCTAATGATCCTGGGAAGGCAGCAGACAATGGCTTATGCTCTTGGGCTTCTGTCATCTAGATGGGAGGCCCTGATGGAATATCACCATCCTGGCTATGGCCTGGTCCGGTCCTTGGCAATGTAGCCATCTGAGGAGTGAACCAGCAGATGGAAGCTTTTTCTTTCTTTCTTTTTTTTTTTTTAAGATTTACTTTTATTATTTTTTTATTGGAAAGGCGGGTATACAGAGAGGAGAGACAGAGAGGAAGATCTTCCATCTGATGATTCACTCCCCAAGTGAGCACAACGGCCGATGCTATGCCAATCCGAAGCCAGGAGCCTCTTCCGGGTCTCCCACGCGGATGCAGGGTCCCAAAGCTTTGGGCCGTCCTTGACTGCTTTCCCGGGCCACAGGCAGGGAGCTGGAAGGGAAGCAGGGCTGCCGGGACAGAACCGGCGCCCATATGGGATCCCAGGTGTGCAAGGTGAGGACCTTAACCACTGCGCCACCGCACCAGGCCCTTTCTTATCTCTTCCTCTTTCTGTCATACTGCCTTTCAAATAAATACACAAATCTCATTTTAAAAGAGAGGTGGTGAAATCTAAACTGACTGAAGAGAACAGGAGGAAGGCACAGAAGAGGAAAGAAAAGGATACACTCAAGAAATAGTTAGGAGGTAAAACCTTAAGTCCCTACTCAGTAAATGAACACTCCGGCCACCATTCCAAGCCACCATCTCTCTTTGTAAATAGTTCAAAGATCTTATTTGTATACAATTTACTCTATTATTTATTTACTTTTATTGGAAAGTCAGATTTACAGAGAGAAAGAGAGACAGAGAGATCCATCTGCTGGTTCACTCTCCAAGTGGCTGCAATGGCCAGAACTGAGCCGATTTGAAGCCAGGAGCCTGGAGCTTCTTCTGGGTCTCCCACACAGGTGCAAAGTACAAGGGACTTGGGCTGTCCTCAACTGCTTTCCAAGGCCACAGGCAGGGAATTGGATATGAAGTGAAGCAGCTGGGACACAAACTGGTGTCGATATGAAATCCTACACATTCAAGATGAGGACTTTCGCCACTAGGCTACCACACTGGGCCCTACAATTTATTCTAGATAATCCAACTAGTGTTTATTTCTGTAAAAGAGACAGAAAATGGGAAGGAAATGCACTTTAACCTAAGATTAATTTAAATAAGATTAAAAGTTTACATTAGAAAGCAAAGGGGCCTGCACTGTGGTAGCAAGTTAAGCATCAGCATCCCTCATCACAGCACTGGTTACCAGTTCTGGTTGCTCTGTTTCTGATCCAGATCCCTGATAATGCATCTGGGAAGAAGCAGAAGGCAGCTCAAATGCTTAGATCCCTAACGCTCATGGAAGAGATCAGAATGGAATTCCTGGTCACTAGCTTCGGCTTGGCCTACACACAGCTGCTGCGACCAACTGAGGAAATCAACCAAGACTCCTTCTTTCTGTTACTCTGTCTCTTAAATAAGCACAATGAGTATTTTACAAGAAAAAGGAAGGACAGAATGGAAGGATGGAAGAATCACATTTTCATTATTGTTTAAAGCTCTGTTTATTTATTTGGAAAGGCAGATTTACAAAGAAGGAGAGACAAAAAGATCTTCTGTCTGCTAGTCCACTCCCCAAGTGGTTGCAAGAGCCAGAGCTGAGCTAAACCAAAGTCAGGAGCCAGGAGCCAGGAGCCAGGAGCCAGGAGCTTCTTCTGGGTCTCTCATGCAGATATAGGGACCCAAGGCTTTGGACCACCCTCTACTGCTTTCCCAGGCCACAAGCAGAGAGCTCGATGGGAAGTGATGCAGCTGGAACATGAAACAGCACACATATAGGATTCCAGCACATACAAGGCAAGGATCTATTCATTGAGCCATTGCACCAAGCCCCACAATGACATCTTCAAGTTATACCACCTACCTCCCACTTGCCCTTATGCCCAGCAGTTCTCAGTAAACAATACGAGTCCCTGCCAAGTGACACAGAATCCTCCTCTGACCAAATACTACTCCGGTTTCTCAGAACTCTGTTCTCAGGTAGATTCTGAGTTTGCAATTCTATGTTCTTCTTTGCATTGTTTCATTTTACCAACAATATGACTAACTCAGGTGACCCACAATTCCCTTCCTCATTATATGATCATCCTCATTGAAAATCAGAATGCCCACCATCCCTCAGGTGACATCTGATCACTCTGACCTGTCTTCAACAAGAATCTTTCCCGGCTTTGTAATTTTCCTTCATTGATCCCTGGCTTGATCCTTGGCTATAAATTCTTGGAGTTTGGTATTTGGAGTTGAGCTCAATCTCCTCCTTACTGCAAGACCCCATTACAATGACCCCTTCACCTTTCATAATGATCCTCGGTCAGACAGAGCCCTTCTTCTCAGAGTCACTGAATAATTTTTTTTCTTTAGCACAAGTCAAGGTTATAAGAAGCATGTGTGTTTACTACTTCAGTCAGCTGGGTGCAAAGGACAATAAGGCAGGCCTTAGGGAATGGAAGAGTGCCCAGACAGGTAGACAGAATCTGGCAGTTAATTCATAGCGGGAGAAAAGCTACCTGCCAACACCAACATGTGCTCTAGATGTACATTTTGTGTAAGAAATAAACTACTGAAAATATACACCTTGTTAGAAAAACTAACACTACCCTAGATTGGATTATATGCAGAAGCAGTATAGGAAAGGAGAATGTTAAATAAGAGATAGGCAGAATATGCCTGAATATGTGCATTTGTAATGATGAGTTTGGGTAGTGAATTGCTACTGAATGTCAAATGGATTATCCAATGTCTAAACTGGAATTTTAAAGACTACAGAAAGATTAATCAAAAAGCAATAGGTGTGCAGGATGCAACTAACATTATCCACGACTCATCCAAAAGCATGTGAAGGGAAAGAACAGAGTGCACGAGCATTTGGCACAGGTGCTGCTTTAATATTATGAATTCTATAAAGAGAAGCTGCAAGAGCTGCAGACCCTTCCTCTCTCATATTCAGGGCTGCATACCTAGGGATATAGGCAATCAATGTTAAATACAAGGTAACGTCCACCTAAGTAGTAACAAGGAATCTAATAACTGTCCTGTGGATCCTAAAGAAACAGTCAGAATAATTTATATTTGTTCAGCTCATTGAATAGAAATTTTTCTCACATTAGTGTAACTATCCAAGAGGTAGATTCTAGTTTGTCAAGCAAAGAAACAATGACAGCACATAACTGAATGTTTCAGGTTTCCTTTTTAGCATGGATACTTATGTATTTTAGAAAAATATCTATGTTTGACTAAAACACAAACCTGGAAATTTGCCACAAGAGAAAGTCCTAAACAACTCAGTATTCCAAGCACAAAGCCAGCCTTGTTCAATTTGATGATAAGGTTCTCTTCAGGATTCAGGGCATGAACTTGCTTATAGCGAACATAAATGGTAGCAATGCCTGGGAAGAGATAATCCAAACAACAAAGTAATAAATAAACAGGGAATAAAGCTGCCAATGGAGAGTTTACAAAGGCCACTGATATCCAGGAATGCAGATTTTCTTTTTAATTTGAGAGAAGAAAAAATAATTGTAGGTTTTTAAGAACTTCCAATATTTCACCACAGAACTACTGATATCTGCGTGATTGAGCAAGTCACTTGCCTTCTGGGTCTCAAATCTACAAATATTTAGAGATTTAAATTGAAACATAAGAGAGAAATTTGGTACCTTTCAAAAATTAAGAGTCATATAAAAAAAACTATAATGATCATTATTCTTACTCAATTCAAAGGTAACTAGTTTTAGAAAGTGGATAAAATGGGTACAAACAAAAAAAAAAACACCTAAAGAGTTATTTGCCTCAATCTGACATCACTTTATTCCAAATTATCACTATTTGATTAATCCGCTAGTCAATTATACAAAGCAAAAAAATAATACTTTGCCATTCATATATGGTTAGAAATATTGCCAAATAGCTCAAGAGTTTAAAAAAAAAAACCCAAACATAAGATTTTATGGATGTATTCCTAAGACTTTAGTCATAAGAAACATTTTAGCCAATTGAATCATTTTCCTGATTTTTATTTTTGATGTTGATAAGTAATATAATTGGAATACTGCAAATATTTAAAGCAGTATTTTTATGATAAAATCACAATAATTTTGGTAAACCATTAGAAAAAATTTAGTTCAAAACAAAAGAAATAGGAATGTAAAATGCTGTGGAAAGGCTATTTCCTTTGACAGTAGTAGTGCATTACTTAAAAATCAAAACATGGTTCCATTTCTATTCTTAAAATTCTAAGCTGTGGATCCTAAAGAAATGTAGTTGAGGTTAGTTTAAGTCAGTGTCTACAGCAATTTGTCCCCCACTAGTTTCCTAAGAAGTCTACTTAAGGTCAAGGAATATTTGGTCATTCTTATAACTTCTATTTAGATGAGTAGTTAGCTAGCTCTGTAGGTATTCCTTAAAGGTTAATTTTCATAATTTAGCTTTTCTGGAAAAGTATTTCTCTTTTAAGAGCAAAATTATGATCAATACTTTAGTGACAATCTCTCAAGTATAACTGGAATTTAAGTAATAAGGTATTGTTTAACAAATAAAGTAGGAATCTACTATTACTTTTGTTATGACTTACACAAAACTTCTTACTTACATAAAACTGCAGCAACATTCAGCATTGCCCCAAATAAACATTTTTCTGGAGCTACTGTACCAGTATCACTGGAAGGAAACAAGAAGGGATGTGAGGTTTTACAAGAGGTACACACAAGTATTTCTTCTAAGGAAAATGAAGTCCAGGAGTTCAGCTCTTATATTGCTTATATCTTTGGACTTACAAATATTTGCCTACTTCATTTTTATGTCACATCATTTAAGATTACCTCCTTTCCACATAATAGAAATGAACATAAATTTCTTTCTTTCTTTCTTTATTTGAAAGTCAAAGTGGTAGAAAAGAAAGGGACTTCCCATCTGCTAGTTCACTTTCCAAATGCCTGCAAGTGCTGGGAGCTGGGCCAGGGAAGAGCAGGACACACGGATGGCAGGAACCCAAGCACTTGAACTACCACCGTCTGTTGCCTCCCAGGCACATTACCAGGCAACTGGATCAGAAGTGGAAGCAGAGGCAGATCCCAGACAGCAGCTATGAGATGTAGGCATTCTAAGCAGCTTAACCTGCTGTGACACAATGCAGACCTACATAGATCAATTTAAAGAAGCTATCCTTGGCCATGATAGGACTGCCCTATTGACTTACTATCAATCACAAAGGTGTGTTTACCTGTCTCACTGCAATACTCCTTATATATCACAGGCCTCGTGACACTCTCTCCACACTAAATAGCTTCTTCTATTATTCAATTAACACTTACTCACTTATTGTTCAACTACAAAGATACTTAGCAAGGGCTTATGATGTGCTACACACCATTTCAGAGATGACTAGTTTTTTATTTTGTTTTGTTTTTACTTGGAAAGCAGAAAGACAGAGACAAATGAAGGTCTGCAACAGCCAAGGCTGGACCATGTGGAAACCAGGCGAGACACAGGGGGCTGAATGGCAAGTGTAGCAGCTGGACACAAACCAGAGCCTACGTGGAATGCCAGAGCCACAGGTGGAGCATCAGCCCACTATGTCACCACACTGACCCCTATAATTTATCTTTTTTTAAAATGTCAAAGTGAGGCTGGTATTGTCAAGTGTTGGGCAAAACCTCTCCCAGCCACAATAACATCCCTCAAAGGTGCTGGTTTTGTGTCCTGGCTGCTGTGGAAAAAAAAAAAAAAAAAGGTCAAGGAAAAAGCGAGCTACTACCATCTACAATCGATGTGACTGAGTGGTATGGTGTGACCAAGTGAGGTAACCAAGCTGAGAGCACAGTGAAAGCATTTACAAAACCTCCAATTCCTTCAGAATTTAAGGTTCTAATTCTGGGAATAACTTGAAAGCCATCACTGGGCTAAAGGAACATGTACCTTAAAGACCAAGACTACCTTTAGGAACTCTGAGTCAAGCCACATATTTCAGGTGGACGATCCCTTCAGTATTGTTATTTTTCCCTTCTGAGAACTTGCCTTAATCCACTCTTAACAGCTTTAAATAACTCAGATCATTAAGTTCTCTTCAAGAGTTCCAGTTCTCTGCTGACAGTGCATGTGATTCCCAAGGCACTTCTTCTTCTCTCCCTCTCCTTCTGCTTTTTACTTTCTGAACCTAAAATTGTCTTGAAATTAAAACACTTCCATGTAATTCTCATAGGTTCATTTCTTTCATCTTCAAAAGGATTAAATTCAACTACTCTGCAGAGTTCCCTTGTTTGTAGTCCCTATCCAAATGTAAATTTCATACTAAAGGCAATTTCGCCACAATGGAATTTGAGGTGTCCTCTTAGCTGATTGATTCAAGTCACACATGCCAAAATAAAATGTGAAGAGACTGGGTTATGAGAAGAAAATGCTATGGCATCTGTGTTTATGTTTTAATCTAAAAATACTAGCATATGGACTAAGAGTACAGTAAATACATAATATCTTCAAAAATTTGTGGGAAGTGTGTGTTATAAAAGATCAGCATGGATTTACATGTAATACCAGTACATTTCAGTTCATCCTTAATATTGACTTGATTACACTGAGAGAAAATAACGGCCTTATTTTGCAATTGAACAAATCTTCTCAAGAGGATCAAAGAACATAATCAAGGTCCCCAGTTAGCCTTTGTGGCCATTTGGGAAGTGAACCAGCAGACGGAAGCACCTGCTCACTCTGTCACTCTCTCTCCTGCTTCTCACTCCTGGTAACAATGTCCTTCAAGTAAATAAGTAAATCTTTTTTTAAAATTGCGGAGTTATTTAAACACATTTAATCACATTACTTTCATAAGTAATCTTTCTTTTTGCCCCTCTTCATTGTAATTAATTTATTTGCATATCAGAGTTGAAACTGTAATACCTTGGAAACCATTCATCATAATAATTATGACTATTCTGTTTGTTAATGCCCACTAAAAATGTCAATATCCTATTACAGCAATTTAGTATCTAGGAATCCACTTCTTATAAACATCAACAGAAGCATATGTTATGGGATCTTCATTCAACATGCTATCAATTTACATTGAGTGAATCAAAACTGAAAATCCAAAACATGTTCAAAAGTGGGAAGAAAGGAAGGGAAGGAAGAAGAGGGGGAAATAGCTCATTTAGACAAACACAGCTGACTAAAAAAACCAAACTCTGGAGGAAAAGCTACCAAACTGAGTCACTACAGGAGGCAACACTGGGGGGGCCAGCAAGACAGTCACTTTTTATTTTTTTGTAATTCCTCTTAGCATTTATAGTTTACCATAATAATCCTTGCTTCTGTAATTTTTAAAAAGATGGTATCACTCGTACTGAGCACTCACAGTAACATCAAAGGTTGTGAGGTCTCCAAAAAAATTACCAGTAAAATTTGGTACCTAATTTGTCAAGAAATATCAAACCAGCATTTCAGAAAGAATAAGAGCATAGCCCCAAGAACCAAATGGCCTACATCTGAATTTTGGTTCCAGTAGTTTCTGAGTTGTGTGCTCTTAAGCCAAAAACTTAACCCCCTTGATTCTCATTTTTCCACTCTCAAACAAGTATCACAATTCCCACGTCTTTTGGTAAGACTGCATTTAATTAGGACATGAAGATAGCTAGAATATTACCTTAAGCATAATAAGCAGGTCAATAAATGCTTGTTATTACTATTACCTTTTCATTTTATTGTTATTTCTGGCATGCTTTAATTTTAAGAGAATAGGGCCCGGCGCGATAGCGTAATGGTTAAGGTCCTCTCCTTGCACGTGCCAGTTCTAATCCCAGCAGCCCAGCTTCCCATCCAGCTCCCTGCTTGTGGCCTGGGAAAGCAGCCGAGGACAGCCCAAAGCCTTAGGACCCTGCACCTGTGTGGGAGACCCAGAAAAAAATTCCTGGCTCCTGGCTTCGGATCGGTGCAGCACCAGCCGTTGTAGTCACTTGGGGAGTGAATCATCGGATAGAAGTTCTTCCTCTCTGTCTCTCCTGCTCTCTGTACATCTGCCTTTCCAATAAAATAAATAAATCTTTAAAAAAAGTTTTAAGAGAATAATAATTCTGATTATGTCTTCTGGGACAGCCTCTAAAACTTATTTAGAAGACTAGCCACTAGGGATTATAATTCAATAATCAGGTCATTGTATCTTATTCTGCTGTCTCTACATTTCTGTATCACATGGAGACAAACACAAGTTCCTTTTAACAGTCACTTTATATTGTTATAATGTCAATGCAGAAATGTGAATTTTAAAATTTTCATCAAAAACGTTAGTTTTAATGTTTCAAATGAGTGAGACACATACTCCAAGGAAGAACAATTCACTTCACTGACCTGATATAAGGCAAAGCAGGATCCACGTGGTGGAGTGTTACTGCAGTGATGTATGAAAATATGAAAGCAGCAGATGTCCAAATGACAAGGGCTGACGGGAGGAAACTGAGGCCTTGCTGAAACCACCACATCTCAAACAGGTGTTCTGAAGTCAGAAACACAAATGAGAAAAGACAATTTACTAGAACCTCCTCCACTTTACTTTGGTCATCCACCTTCATTACTTTGTACTTACTGAGCTGGCTGTTCAGCTTCTGAAATCATTCCTCACACCAGCCCCCACACCTGCTGTTCACACTTTAAGCAAACTGAGCCAAGATGCACCTACCTGCCACATGTAGGAACTTACTTTCTGTCCCAACCTCCCACATGTTATCAAGAACCAAATCCTGTTTACTCTCTTTTTTCATGTCTACTCCTTCTCTCCATCTTTATTACCATTACTCCACCTAAACCACCATCACCTTTTGGCCAAATCTGTAACATAACTCTAAATGGTTCTTGTGATACTGTTAAATATATGTGGCTATCCTTTGTAACTTTAGGGAACTGATTCCAGGATCCTCCCATAGACATCAGATTTACCAATGTTCAAAACCAGAAAAGGATTTGCGTATAACCGATATCCTCCAGTACACTTCAAGTCACCTCTAGATTACTCCAAATGCCTCATACAATGTAAAGCAATGTGTAAATAGTTGTTGTATCACATTATTTAGGGAATAAGAACATAAAGACTTAAGTCTGTGCATGTTTAGTACAAATAAACCTTTTCTGCCCATTTCCAACCTGTAGGTGAACCCACAGAGGCAGAACTCACAAACATAGGTGACCAACTATATTTGTTCCTCTTCTGTTTCCTGGCCAAAATTCCCTAAAATTCTTGGAATCCAGAGTGACCAGTGTCTTAAATGTGTTAGTCAGTGATCTGGAGCTGGCGACCATTAAGCAGCTTCAGGATGGGGGCTGATGACAGGAAAGAAAAACTCACAGTAAGGAAGGCTTGCGCTTTCAGTCCAACTCCCTATTCTCCTGGGAGGGCAGACATTGAGGTTAGGTTGACCATAATGGCCACCAGTTTCAATCACGCCTATGTAATGAAGTTTCATCACATGAAAAGATTGAGTTCAGAGATTCCAGAAAGAAAGCTGAGCACATGGAGGATTCCTGAAGGATGGTTTGCACCCTTTCCCACATTCCTTACCTATGCATATCTTCACCTGTATTCATTTATTTATTACTATTAGAAAGGCAGAATGACAGGGGTCAGGGTCAGATTCCTTATGCTGCTTCACTATCCAAATGTTTGCAAGAGCTAGGCCAAGCTAAAGCCAAGAGCTCAGGACTCTCCAGCTAAGTCTCCCTGGTAGGTGGCAAGAACCCAAGTACGCAGTCATAATCTGCCACCTTGTCATGTATAAGAGTAGGAAGCTGGGTCAGAAGCATGGAGGGCACTTGAACCCAGTATCCCAAACAGCATCTCAATCACTGTGCCGAAACACACCCCTATCTGTATTCTTTCTAATGTCCTTTATTGTAATCATCAAATGTGCTTCTGAATTCTCTGAGCCACTTTAGCCAGTTAGTGGAACTAAGGAGTGGATCATGATAGCCCCATTTATAGCACGTTAATCTTAAACACAGGTAAAATGACTTGAGTAGTCTTGCAGGGCTGAGCCCTCAGCCTGTGGGATACTTCAGGGTTGACATAGGGGATGCCCACTGATCTGCCGCATTACCAATTGGCGACTGCTAGGGGAAAACCCCCACATACTTCTTGGTGACCAGAGGAATATTTCCTTCTTTGTGTTGAGCAAGAGAACAGGAAAAAACACTTTGGTTTTTCCTATATTACTCAATCCTACTACATTCTTGGCCACAACTACTCTACCTTAAAACCAAAGTTCTTAATCCTTACAATTCTAAAACAACACTGTGACCATTTTATTGTCCTACTAAGAATCTTTTAGTGGTTCCCTTAAGCTCTTACGGACTTTGCTCTTACAATTAGTCTATAAGGTCTTTGTATGACATTATCTCTACTTAACCTTTCTATATTCTCAAATAGTTCATGTTTATTCCCCAATTCCTTGCTCTAGCCATCATCACCTTTACCATCACTACAAAGGCACATACTTAGTGTTTATTTCATATTAGCAGCGCTATTCAGTGTCTTAATATATGACCTCATCGATTCCCCTCAAGAGAATTACTAGGAGAAACGGCCCCAACCACTGGGAGAGAACAAGACTCAAGTTCAATTTGATTCTGACAGCAAATCACTGTGCTATACAGTGCCATAGCAGAATTCGTGAAGCTCTTTAAACATGCCAGGTTCTCTGGCACACTTTCAGTCATGCACTCTGTTAAATCCTCCTGAATGAGGACACAGTTCTGTGATTCCCCCCACCCACGATCCTGAAAAGCCTGTCTCTCCCAGCTTTAGCCGAGAGTCCCTGCTTTGCTCTCCTGTGTCCCCTTCCTCCCCAACCAGGCCATCACTTACACTTAACTGTTACTCCCTTTCTTGGTTTTATCTTCCTCACTGAACTTTTAAGTACTGCAAAAGCAGGAAACAATTGTTTTGTTCACCATTGTATTTCCAGCTCCTACCTAAGGAAAGGAAAAAAAGAGAACCTAAATACACATAAGCCATTCATCACCATGTTCTCCCTGAAACTCCAGACTGAGGATCGGTTAATCCTGTCTTTAGCTACAAAATGGATGAAACTGGGAACCATTACACTTAGTGAAATAAGCCAGTCCCAAAACACAAACACCACAGTTTTCTCAGATATGTGGTAATAAATACAGCATGCAAACAAACAAACAAAAAAGCTAAAGGAATGAAACAGACACCTTGTAATCCCATTGTTTTTTTTACCCCTTGTTTATACTCCTACGGAACTTTGAACTTTCTACTTTTTTAGTTGTTAAATTTTATGGTTAGTGGCACATTAAGCATGTGAATCTAGACTGGATTGAAATTGTTTTTGAAAAACTAAAAAAAAAAAAAGAAAGGCAGGAAAGAGGGGTTGTGGAAGAAATATGATTTTCTTGTTAGAATTGTTCCTAAGAAATATATGAAATTGTACTAAAATTTTTCTAAAAAATAATGAGCCAATAATAATGAGAACTCTACTATATTTCATGATTTTTTAAACATAAACATATAGAAATCTTTCAAAGATATTCTTATGCACATTAGAGTATCTTCTCACAATTTGCAAATCTAAACAAATTAGTATTTCTAAGCAACTTTGTAAATATACTAACAGCTCTCATTCTACACAGTCCTCCACTGCCCTCAGCTTCCCCTTCTCAGCTTGGCCTTCTAAATAATGAAATCTCAGCCATTTTTCATGGGTACTTGTCACTTGCTCTGATCATCTGACTTGTTGCTAAATATACTTATTATGCACATCTTGCTAAATATGTTTCGTTTCTTTTTCCCTACAGTCATGATTATAGGTTTGGTTTGAATAATCTCCTGCATAAATTATTATCTCATTTCTGTTTTCCTTTGTAAGCCTTAACACATTCCTTGCTAAGACTGCATAGGTACTTTTCTCCTGCACATGTTTCTAGAACAATAATTCTAAAAATTTCAATCAGGTCAAGATCTTTAGTTTTTCTTCTTTTATATCCTAAAACATTTTTTATATTTCTAACTAATTCTTACCTAAAATCCTTAGAACTAAATCCATTATTTGCTGCTATGACTTACCTTTGTATAGGTATTTTGTACTTCTCAACTGTGAATTTGTAATTGGATAATCTTAATCTGAGACTATGTTAAGAGGCTTAAACTAAGGATAAATAATTCCAGCGAGGGCCTGTATTTATTTTTGGCAGGCACTCTGGCACATTACCAAACTGGGCTAACTGTCCATTAATTTCTTGGCTTCTAGTTTGTTTTTTGGTGTTCTGTTGACTACATAAACACCTAGATTTGGTCCTTGAGCCTAGAAGTAGCAAACCTTGTTTTCAAGCGGTGTCTTTGTTCTCCCTTCTGGAGTAATGGTGAAAATGGATAGATTCCTTTGTGGTCTCCTTTAGCCAGGCTGATTTCTTTCTCTCTCTCTCCCCCTCTCTCTTGTTTTTGTTTTGTTTTGTTTTTTGGCACACCCCTTATTGAATGTGCAGACTTTTGAGGACTATGAATAAATTTGTGGGGAAGCATTTCTCCAAGATCACAAGTTGGACACTTGTAAGTGGAAATACTTCTACTTCACTCAGTGAAAATACCAGCTAGTGAAGTACAGGCCGCACTATTGGAGCTGTGTATGCTGGGGGTCACAGGAGTAGGCATTGTCTCCACCTAGGAGTAGAAGCGGTGGGAGCCCATCACCTATCTGTAATTGTGCTTCAGTCACTCATCAGCCAAACCTCCCCAGAGGAGACACTCCCAGAGGAGTTATTTCTCTGGTTTCAGCTTTCTCTGGCATTTTAGCCAAGGGGCAGGGAGGGGGGGTGGTCATTGTTTCTTTCTTGCAAAGACTTGATAACTTCAAATGTTGTTGATTTTGTTTTATGGCTTTTTATTTAAGGGAAGGTACAATAACTGTATTAATAGACTATCAAATTCAGATGTGAAGATGCAATGCAGTATGCATCTCTACTTCCAAATCAAAGATGGACTCCCAATGAAACTGTTGGATATTTCCTGACATTAGGATGCTAGACTGTATATCATTGTCTGTACCCACAAAGTCAGGATACACTGAAAGAGCAGAGTGATGGACTTATGACTGCTTATGAAGGACTGACTATACTATTGTAATAATATGGGGCAATCAGTTGTGGGGAAGGGGTCTTGGGGAGGGAGTAAAGGAAATCCCAGAGCCTATAGAATTGTACCATAAAATCTTAAAAAAAAAAATTTAATGCTTAAAAATTTTTAAAAAGAATATTAAGTGATAACGTTAATACAATTTAACATTCAGAATTTTTGGTTAAAGGGATTTTCAAAATATTCTGTCCACTCCATTACTTGAAACATAACCTGTTCCCTCCCTTAGAGTTTTTTTCCCCGTCTAAATCTTCCCTATTTTTCAAAACCAGGCTCAAATTCTGTCTTCCACAAAGAACCTTCCCTAATCCTTCTGTGTCTGGAAATAGATACCTTTTCCTCCAATAACACCTGATTTACGCATCTGTTAGTTTATTATACAACCTGAAAACTTAGGGGTGGCCTGGAGGGAATAAACTCCTTGTTAAAGGATCCCCCTTTCTCACCAAGCAGAGCAGAGAACTCTACCCATTGTACTAGCTCAGGATGTATTGAATGAACAACCAAAAATAGTTTTTCTATCTCAGTAAGCAGCATGAACACCTTTTCCAGATTCAGATTCCAAGAACTGAAAGTAGCACAGGGCTCATTTTGTCCTTCAAAGTCCCCTCACTGTCATTAGTGATGGTAATTCACTTTTGTAAGTCATTCAGAAACATCCTTCCTCTCAGTTCACGTGACAAACACTCCTTTCAGATTCTCAATTCTCTTGGCTTACCTGCTTTTTTTTCTACTCCTTCATCTATTCTGACTCCTTTACCAAGTTATCATTTCTAAAGAATTCTCCTCAGAGACTCACTAAATAAAATGGTGAGGCTTTGGGCAAACTTCAAAACTGCTCTGAACAGATTCTCCTTTGAATAAATGGGAATTATATCATCATTACAGGTAACATTTTCCAAAACTACAGCCACTAGCAACATGCAGCTATTTACATTACAGTTTAGATTACAACTAAATTAAATTAAAATGCTCAGTTCCTTGGTCATACTACTCACGTTTCAAATTTTCAAAGCCTTAGGTGTCTAGTAAGAGTACAGCGTATTTCCTAAATGTGGAGAAGTTTAGTGAATTGTGCTGGATAGTTATTACAAGGGTTGTGAAGACAGCACAAATGACACAGCCAGGACATTGCTGATGCAAAACAATAGTAGCTTTCAGTTAGCATCACTAGAAGCTTTTAGCTTGTCTGTTAGTACGAAACAGTACCTGCTTTATGGAGGTTTACTAAAATACTAAATGAGAAAATATATATAAGGTAATATCAGGCTGCCAGAAAATATTTGTTGTCTTCTCTAATGTGAAGAGGAATTATCTATTGTAGGAGTGCACAAAATATCAATCTTCAAACTGTCCAGCCTACACCTTTTATGGATCCTGAAATCCACACACGAGGAAAATAAGAGGTTATTATTTCAATCTATGTGATTTGAAATATCAATTTCCAGCCATCATACTAATATTGTTTGTGAGAACACTAAGCAATAGCACAATTAACATGCTATTTTGCTTTAAAGAATTAACACCTGAGTTTTTTTGTAATGTTTTATACCATCTGAAATTACATGCTTCTTATCCCTTTCCACAGAAGACACCTTTCTTCATTAGCCTTCAAAACAATAAAATTAAAGGAAAAACTCTTGATTTCTTCTAACAAAGACTTAAAAATGAGCAAAGATTGAGAGTTCATTATTGAGTAAAATAAGGCATTAACTCCCATGAGGTTAATAGAAAAAAAGCACAACTATAAGAATGGACTTGTATAAATGCAATCCTACCTTTACCATTTCCTAGTTAGACAAATAGGATTTCAGGCTTGTTGCTTAGCCATTGCTTCTTATTATTTGTTTTAAAATGTATTTATTTTTATTTTAAAGATAGATTATATAGATACAAAAGAGAGAGAGAGAGAGATCTTTCTATTCACTGGGTCACTCCCCAAAGGGTTGCAGCCTTCAGAGTTGGGCCAATCTAAAGTCATGAGGCAAGAGCCTCCTTGCAGGGATCCAAGGACTTCAGCTACCCTATGCTGCCTTCTGAAGCCACAAGCAGGAAGCTAGATCAGAAATGAAACAGCCAGGACTTGAACTGGTACCCTTATGGGGATACCAGCACTGCAGCTGGAGGATGAGCCTGTTGAGCCACTGCACCAGCCCCATCACTTAGCTTCTAAGTTACAAAATTCTGATTTGTAAAATCATCAAATTCTCAAAAGACAATAGAACAGAATGGAACGGAAGCATATAGCATTGATAGCCGATTTGCTAATTCTGCATAGTCATTAAATAGCCATGGGTATGGGAAATATCTTGTAAGCATAAATTCTTTCTAGGTATGAGCCATCTTAGATTCATATCTACTAAGACTGTAAGGGTTCCAATTGTTTAAACTGGCAATTCAGAAGAGAAGCATGGCTTGAAGTGGTCTATTCATTTCATAATGACAATTAAGAAAAATGCATGGCCTAGAGGAAGAGGACAACTAATTGTCCATGGACTTTGAACTTGGAAAGGTGAGGTATGGCTGGATAACCGCCAATGAAACAAAATTAAAATTTTAATGGTTCTTAATTCAAGAAACCTTTCAAAATATTTTTAAACAACATATAATAAATAATATATAATAATAATAATAAACTTCATACAGCAGTAACAAATTTTAACAAAATAGACTTGCATCTCACCTATTTTCTCTGATTTCTTTGGTGTTCCACGAACCAAAACTGCAGTTTGAATTTTTTTCACAAATATTTGAATGCATCGGTTTTAAGATCAATTGCTTAAACTATATCGTCAAGTGGTGACTGTTAAGAAATACTCAGGTATTGCACAAAGGTGTTTCAGTCTATGGCAAATGACACCTGAATACACAACAGAGCTCCCTCCCATCGATTACAATGGAACTGAAAGTTCCCCGTCACCTAGTGAGCAAGGCTGCAGCCATCACAACATCCCAGCACAACACAACAATCACAAGTTTGTGGCAATACTTGTGCAAACAAACCTGCACTGCCAGTAGTATAAAGACACGACACGATTATGTACAACACAGATTATAATAATAGATGTCTTTTACTGGTTGATGTCTCTAGTATCCAATCCTTTGTAAACTTCTTTTTCAGAATCTCCTCCTTCGACTTATAAACAACAGAAGTGTAGACGTGAGTATTGTGGGGCAAAGGGTCAAGCTGCCGCTGCAGCTTGGGATACCCACATCTTAATGCCCTATGTCCGAATGCAGTCACATCTGGCCACCTCCACTTCCCATCCAGCTTGCCCCAACATGACTCGGAAGCCAGATGTGATAGTTCAAGTATTCAGGTCACTCCTACCCACACAGGAAACTGGGAAGCAGTTCTGGGCTCCTGGCTGCAGCCTTACCCACCCTGGTCCTTGTGGGTATTTGGGAGAGTGAGCCAGCCAGATGGAAGATCTCAGTCTTTGCCACCTTGCCTTTCAACTAAATGAATCTTAAAAAAAAAAAAAAAAGCACCAACCAGCATACACATACCTTGTGTTTACTAGGTCTCTGGATTGTATGTTACAGACCTATACTAACTTCATGTAAATACACCATACACTGTTCCCATGATGAGGAAATCATTTGATGAGACATTTCTCAGAAGATACAGAGACAAATGACTGAAATAAGGAAAGAAATGCTAGATGTTCCAAGTTTACAGAAAGTCTCCGGCTGCTTTTGCAATGATAGACCCACCCATCAGTCCCAAAGCAGAGCATCACAGAAACCCTAATTTGGCCCCTTGACCAAGACACTGTTCTCTAAAGGTTAAATTCTGGACCCTACAAGACTACATAAGATTCTGTAAGAACAAATGCTAAATGGAGAGAAATGAGGCAAATTTCATGACGCAACACAAAGTACACATTTCTGTAATTATTTCTAAATTAAAACGTTGGAAAACTAGATATTTCTGAGTTGCATTTCCTGTGATTTTCATATAAAGCACGGATGTGAGGACATCAGGGATTAGTGATTTCCTTTCTTGAGCCTACTCCCTGCGGTAGAATTCCACTTCTGACCCAGCTTTCTGTAAACACAAGGTCATGGAGGATCTCACTTTCAAACCTCTCCCTGCCGCCACCACCAAGGCACCCGCTCAACCGTTCACTTTCGTGGGACTAGGACGCCGGTTCTAGGTGACCACTTAAAACAAGAGGAATTATTTAGACTGCCACTGCCTCTCACTGGAGCAAAGAGGTAGGCTATGCTTTGCCCTGAGGCCAAGGAAAGCTGCAGAAGCTGAAGCTGAGCCTGGGCACCAGCTGGTGCACTCGGGGAGTGGGAAGGACATCATGCGAGACTAGGGGACCAGAGCCAGCATGCACTCTTCCACGACCTCTGGGTCCCCCGCGAGCACAGGCGCTGCTCCAGCTTCCCCCCCACCCGGGCCCTCTGGGGTGCCTGGCACAGCGTCGCCCTGGGGGCAGGCGGAGCGAACTGCCAGGTGCCCCGTGCGCGCGCGCCATGCGCAGAGGGGCACCGGGCTGCGCCCAACTCCCCGACCCACCCCACGCCACCCCCTGAGCGGCCTCCAGAGCCGGCGCGCAGGCGGACTCCCGACCGCTTCATCCTCCCACCCTCTTCCTAATCCTAACCTACCTTACCAGCTTGACCCTGCCAGGGCAGGCCGACGCTCCGAGCCTTCCCGCAGCACGGGAGACAGGGCGGGGCACCGCGGCGCGCTCCCGAGGGGCCAGGCCAGGCCTGGGCGCGCTCTCCTCGGAGCCAGGAGCGCGCGCGCGCCGCCGCTCCTGCCGACCTCATCTCCCTTTACGGCTACCGCGAAAGTGTCGTGAGCGTGCTGCCGCGGATCAGAGTCACCCAGTGGAGTGAAGTCGAAGTTGTTATTCCTGGGGGTGTGCTGGCTGGGGGTCGGGGTAAGACTTGGCGGGGCTCGGTCTTCGGACACATGGCCAGGGAGTGAAGGACGTGGTGAGGGGCACGTCTCCCAGGAAGAGTGGGCCGACGGCTGGATGCTCCGGGGTGGAGCGTTAGGCTGCGGTTGTGGACGGACTTGGGCGAGGCGGACGCCGTCCCCCTTGCCTCGCACAGTGGCCTCGCGCTCGGGGCTTGGGGGAGGACAAGGGGCGAGCTCCCCTCTGGCCCCCGGAACGAGGCCGAGGCGGCGGAGCGCGGGCCCGGGGGGCGGCCGTGAGGAGCGGAGGGCGAGGCGGGGAGCGGCACGGAGGGCCCGCACGGGGCGGCCGAGGGCTTGGGGGGTGCTGCCCGCTCCGAGCTGACCTGGCCGGTGGGATCCACACCCTCTCGCCCGGCCGCAGCATCCTCCTCCCAGGTTTGTTTCCCCTTTGGAAGAGGGTGCTGGGGTTGCGTGGTTGGGCCTCGCCTGGTGGTCAGCAACTTTTCTAGAAATTTCAGCCTTCGCCACCGACAAGCCTGGGTGTGTTTGAGCAGGATTCTTGGAAGGCATGCAGGAGTGCTAGTTTGTGCCGCTTTTCCCAGAAATGGGGTCAAACTGCACAATTGGCCCTGAGTGTGTCGGGATTTCTTCAATTCGATGAGAGGCATTTTTGTGTCATTTTTATACATGGGCATGGAGTGTGTAATTTTAAAGGGAGTGCCTAGCTGACTACCCAGGCAGTACCGTTGGGGTTCAAAAATTCAGGATTGAAGTTAAACCCATAAGCTGCGTGTTCTGTGCTGTGAAAAACGAAAGCCCCGTTTCCAGCTTGTCATATGACCCTTCTGTTTAAGAAATTACAAGTGTTTACTTAGGTTCTCTAGCAGAGTTATTTCCTCTGTGAGGGAATGGGAGATTTCACTTAAGCAAAAACACCAGGTCTAGGTTGTGTTACACAGTGCCTTTCATTCCTGCTGAAAAGGCTTCTGTTCTGGGAGACTTGCTGTATGTATTACTTGTTAGATAACGCGGGACTTGATCCCCACTGATTTTCTTCCCTTCCTTCCTTCTTTCCCTTCCTCGTTGCTTACCGTTTGCCCTGCCTCCCTAATCCTGCAGGACATTCCCATTTTCATCTAGTGGTGCCATAAGGACTGTACAGTCCCCAGTTGTCGCCTGTGAGAGGACTGCCAGCATAGTGCTGAATCAGTGCAGATCAAAACTTGGCACCCTCAGACCTGGGGTGGGGAGGATGGGAAAGCTGGAATCTCAAACAGCAGGTTGCATGTTGTGTAAGCTTACCTTATGCTCGGTTCAACAGTTGGAGTGTTTTTAAATGTGTTACGTGTCAGGTAGTGTCAGCTACTCCCTACGCTGAAGTCCATGCAGGAATTACGTGGGCAGTGTTCCTTTGGCTTCAGCTGCTATTGCACAGATGTTCTACATGACAGTCTTTAAGACCTACAAAGCATGTGTAATTTTGGTAAATTTGCTCACTCAGTGATCTGTGAGTCTGTGGTTTTGTCCTTGAATTGTACTTTTTGCGTTGATGTTGATGCCTGAACAAAGAGAATTCTTTGTCAAACCATATGTCTTCCTTGGACTCACAGCCTGTTGTGAACGTGTTGTACCTTAGGGTGTTTACAAGCATGTTAAGGCTTTTGAATAGAGTATGAGGTGGCATATTTCAATCTTTCTTCTCAAGATCTAGAACAGCTAAAAGCTGCTTATCATATTTGTCCATTGTTCAGTAAGTACTGATTAACTACTTAGTTCTAAGTGTGGTATGAGACTTGGGGGGAAAGAATGCGAAGACAGGCATGGCAGTCAGTACAGCTTACAGAGCAGTGTAGAGAAGACAGCCCAAAACAACAAATACAAGAAGTTCAAAGCGTGGTAACCGAAATGTATTCAAGGGAGCAGAACACTGTTGAGTTAGGTTAACATAGGAGAATTTATTTACTAAGCGGAAAGGCTACAGTAGCTATAAAATTATGATCAGTGTTAAACTGAATTAAAGGTGGTAGGATTTATTGATTGATTGCTCTTTATTAACTTTGAGCAGGCTGGGTTGGAGGACTCAGCTCTCAGTTTCTGTTTCCTGCCAGTGTGCGTGCTGCCGGGCAGCCAGTGATGGCTCCCTAGCTGGGAGACCTGGATTGCACTCCAGACTTCACAACCTGTCCCAGCCTTCCATGGAAGTACACGCTCATATTCTTTCATTTAGACCCCTCTGCATTTCAAATGAATACTAAGAAATAATTTTTAAAATACTGACCGGAGTGGGTGTTGTGTGTTGGATTAGGCACTGTTTGAGGCACTCGCATGTCAGTGTCACCACTTCTCCTGACGCCTCTGCCTCTTATCCAGCTTCCTGCTAACGCACCTGGGAAGGCAGCACATGGTGGCCCAAGTGCTTGGGTCCCTGCAACCCACGTGGAAGAACCAAGTGCAGTTCCTGGCTTCTTGTTTTGCCCTGGCTGGGCCCCAGGTGTTATGAGATTTTAGAGAATAAACCAGTGGATGGAAATTCTCTCTCTCTGTCTCTCTCTCTCGTCCCTTTCAAATAAATAGATGTTTAAAAAATACATTATGATTTACAAAAATATATTTTCCATTAACAAGTGCACTGTACTACAAACTTAATAACATTCTTTTAATCTCACTTGTAGTTTTTAATCACATCAGAATAAAAATCCTGTGCCATGATTTATAAACCCCTGCAATGTATTATTCTTGCAAACGTCGCTTTTCTATCTGGTTTACTCTTTCCCTTGAATAGTGATCTCTGAGATATAAGACAAGTAGCTTCTTGCTTCAGGTCCTGATTCATTTTCTTTTCTTTTCTTCACCTGTTCTTAAAACTGCTGGTTCCTTGTTTTCCTCTGAGTTTCATGTACAAGCTGTTTCTTCAGACTGCTTTTTGCTTGTTTTTGCTCTAGACATAAGAGGTAAGGCCATGTGTGTTTTGTTTGTTGCAATCAGATATTGACTGCATTTGGAACTTGGAATCCGTTTTCTTATCAAAACTCTTGCTGGTGGCTAGGTTTCTACACTACCCAGCAGTCATTTTAGTTGTTGGCTGTCTAGAAAATAATTCTTTGTCCTGTGATAAGAAAATGATGTTTTCTGCTTACTCTCTTGGGCACAGACTTCATACTCAAGTTGCTAACATACTTTTGTAGTATTTGTACCTCATTTCCATATTTTCATCTCACTTTCTGTTTTCTCTCCATGTTGCTAATCTTCCTATTGTAGCCACCTTTCCTACTCCCATAAGGTATGCTTGCTTTTTATTTGATATAATTCAGAAGTTCCTCTTTTTTGGAAATGATTCTCGAGGTCATGGAAGAAGGAGCAGTGGAGCTGGATTTGTGTCAGTGACAACAACTGAAGTAGCTGTTTGTATGAGAGAACAAGATGAAATTATATGATAGTGTGAATTTTCTATGAACTTTTTGATGAACCTACTATGTGCCAAATGTAAAGGCCCCAGGGTATCATAGGTGTTATACCTCTCCGAAATATTTGCGATGTTGTTGCTGATAGCTTCACAGAGACAATGTTGCCTGATTGAAATGTTGCCAAAGAAAACTTAGGACTCTTTGACTCTTATCATGTGTGTGTTCTATAAAAACAGCTAGATCTACAACTGTTAGTAAAAATGTAGATATTTTTTTCTAAAACAGAACTAGAAGGTTAAAAAAAGAATGTAGGTCACAGTAGGGAAAAACTCACAAGGAAAGTATCAGCTTATACTATTCCTGCCAAATGCTCAAACTTAAAACCGTTAAGATAGGTTGCTTGTAGCTGGTAGTGCCAAGAGCAGACTAGCACCCTCGGTATAGCACCCCCTTTTGTTGATAGTGGAAAAATAGAACACTGCAACAAGAAAATATGAATTAACTAAACTTTATTCCCATTTTAAGTGGAATTCCACAAGCCTCAATGATAGCTTCCCAGTTGTTGAAAATGCGCTGTTCGTTTTGGTTCCTGTGAAGCTCAGTGTTTTGGTGGTGTTTGATGTATCATTTGATCTCATAGTTTGGTTTTTTTTTTTTTTAAGATTTATTTATTTATTTATTTTGTTGGAAAGGCGGATGTACAGAAAGGAGGAGAGACACTTGATCTTAGCCAAAAGGCCGAGAAGCGATTGGGGAGGAGAGACAGAGAGCAAGATCTTCCATCTGATGGTTCACTCCCCAAGTGACGGCAATGGCTGGAGCTAAGCCAACCCGAAGCTAGGAGCCAGGAGCTCTTCTGTGTCTCCCATATGGTTGTAGGGTCCCAAGGCTTTGGACCGTCCTAAACTGCTTTCTCAGGCCACAAGCAGGGAGCTGGATAGGAAGAGGGCCGCCGGGATTAGAACCAGTGACTATATGGGATCCCGGGCGTGCAAGGAGAGGACTTTAGCCACTACGCTATCGCGCCAGGCCCTTGATCTCATAATTTTATTACCAGTTACTTAAAAATTGTGTGAAAACAGTTTTAGTTAATAACTTTGTAATATGTTTCTATGAAAGACTTACTTGAAATAGTAGGAATTAGCTTTGCTTTCCCTTTTTGTTTGAGATATTAAATGTTTTTGTTTTGTAGCACCTGAGTGGTTACTTCTATCTCTGATTATTTTGAGGTTTTTTTTAAGAAAATTTAAGGATATTACCTTGATCACAATGACTGTTTTCTAAGCCGTATGTTGAGATCCATCATTGACAAAGGTTTTAGATAGCACCTTAAGTCATTAGTGACATTGACATTTGGGAGTTTGATATTTGTGAGGGTGTAGAGAAAAACCTCCTGGTACCTACATAACCCAACATGCTGTTCACGTGGCCATCCTGCCTGTGACTCAGTGTCCCACTGGCTGTGAGTCTGTGCCCACTTGTCTGCGTGCTTGTGTTTTGTATATATGAACCATGTTCTTGTATTTTATAGTTCATGTCGGGTCACAGTGTGCCTGACCCCCAGGGTGCCCGTGTGGTCTGGGTCACTGATTCTATAGTCATGACCTAGTAAAAGTCAAGGAACAGCTGCTTTCAGGTCTCAGCCTGACTCGCTGCATTGCATTCATCACTGGATGAAAAGCTAAGAACTGGCTTTTTATCCACCTGGGACCATAGGGCACCTGCTGCTTTCGAGACCACCCTTCCAAGGCAGAATAAGCTGAATCCTAATAAGAACAGCTGGGCATGTTCCCATCATAGGTCCATTGTTAAGATATTCTAAACCCTGCATTACATTCTGTATTCTCACAGGACACCATTTTTGGGAATTTCATATTTCTTTCTCTATACTATTCAACCAGAGGGTCAAAGTATACCTTTTTCTGGTTAAATGCCAATTCCTTTTAACTCAGTTAAGATTTTTTTTTTTAATGTTATGACTTCCCTTCCTCCCTTTGCTCACTATGTGTTTTCCACAAGGTACTTTATTCTTTTTCTTTCCATATTTAATCACTTCAAAAATCTTTTTGGTCTTTAGCTAGTCATTAGCTTCTAACTCGGTAATTTAAAATTTTCATCTCTTGTTCGAACTCCAGGCTGTATTTTATCTGAGGCATCTTAAGTTACATGTGTGCCTTTCCTCCCTACCGCCACCCTCAGTTGCCCTCTCACCTGCACATCCCAAAGGCCAACATATAATTAGCTGACTTTTTTCCTAACTTTCCCTTTTGACGGCAGTACCGCTAGTTTCCAGTTTCCCTTCCCTCTGCTCCACTCATCTCTAGTACCTAAACACTTTGTTCTGTCTCTGTTTTACCATCAGTGGCTGCCACACTACAAACAGTTGAAGTCACTGTGCTAATTTTTTATTGTTCTCACTACTTTATCCGTCCTGATGGCTATATATGGCTACCCTGTTCATCTTGGAAATACCCTTGTAAATATTTCATTACTCTGTTTAATTACTTGTAATACTTGCATTATTGCTGATGATTCCTAAATCAAGTCCAGAAAAATTCGGGGCTCAATCTCCAGGTCCTTTACCCATAGTCATCATTTAGTTCATCACTTGTGTTTGCTTACTGTTTTGTCATTTCATCATGGCATGAGTTCATAAAATTAATTTTTCATTGTTACTTATCTCCACCTCGAATTCTTTCTGGAACCCTTGTCACTATTTAGTTTTGTCTTTTAATTTAGCTTAAACAGAAACAATGTGTTTGTTTAAACATCATTTACCAGTCATGTGGTTTGGGCATGTTAATTAATTAGCCTCCCATGTCTTAGTTTATTTTTCTATAAAGATGGAGTCAACAGCCCCTGCTTTTTAGGATTGTTCATATTAAATGAGTATGTGTGTATGTGTGTGTGCATAGTATTTGAGCTGTTTGATATAAAATAAATGCTCAATTAATGTTAGCTTTATCATTAGAGAGAAATTTAGTGGTTTTTTTAAGATTTATTTATTGATTTTAAGGGCAGAGTTACAGAGAAGGTGTAGGAAAGATCTTCCAACTACTGGTTATCTCCCTACATGGTCACAAAAGTCAGAGCGTGGCTGTTCTGAAACCAAGAACCAGGAACCCCTTCTGGGTCTCCCACATGCATGCAGAGGTCCAAGCATTTGGGCCATTCTGTATTGCTTTCTCAGTCACATTGTCAGGGACCTGGATCAGAGGTGAAACAGCTGGACTTTAACTGGCTCCATAGGGGTGCCAACATCAGAGGTGGTGGCTTCACCCCAGTGCCACAACATCAGCCCCTGAAAATGTAGCTTTAAACCCATTTCGTTCAAATTATTCTTTTAGTATTAGTATTGATTTGCTAGGCTCAGGATTTCATTTTATGTATGACACACTGAGATTGTTTCTAACTTCTGTTCATGACATTAGTGAAAGCATTGTGAGATAGGAAAAGCAGTGTAAAGTCACATAAACTATAAAGTCACAGGAAGCCTATCACTATTAAAGTTCCATAATATTTTTTGCTTAGGGGGAGGGTCATACGTTTTGACTAAGAACTAGAACTAAAATCAAGTCCCTCATTTTCTGATGCCAGTTTGATATTTTTATTCTATTAGTAAACTGATTTTAGTGATACTGATTTTAAAAAATGGCTTACAAATATACTCTTTTTCCCCACCCCCCCAGATAAACACCTGCCATAAAAAGCTGTAAAACAAGATAAATTACTATCTCCAAAATAAAAGAAAACCAAGATCCATGAGTGGGCATCGGTCAACAAGAAAACGATGTGGAGATTCTCACCCAGAGTCCCCTGTGGGCTTTGGGCATATGAGTACTACAGGGTGTATATTAAATAAGTTGTTCCAGTTACCCACACCACCACTGTCAAGACACCAGCTAAAGCGGCTAGAAGAACACAGATATCAGAGTGCTGGACGGTCCCTGCTTGAGCCCTTAATGCAAGGGTATTGGGAATGGCTAGTTGGAAGAGTTCCCTCCTGGATTGCCCCAAATCTCATCACCATCATTGGACTGTCAATAAATATCTGTACAACTATTTTATTAGTCTTCTATTGCCCTACAGCTACAGAGCAGGTAAGAAGAATTTCTTAAAAGAGATACTAGCATTTATTACATACCAGTAACATGGCAGTTGGGGGTTTGGGAGGTGATTTTAACTAAATAAAGAAAAAACATTTAATAGCTATTTGTCAACTCTTAGAAAATAACCACGCACACTGTGATAAGGCTCCTAAGTACAACCCACTTTGCACACTGTTGCTCATTTAACTTCAAAAGCAAAGAATGTTAGTAGGGATTAACACAGTGATCCTTTTTAAAAAATCAGTACCTTTCTCAGTTCTTTACAAAAGAGGTTTAACCCTTAAAAAGTCTTAATAGTATGTCCAACAAAGTTTAAAATAATCACACAGGGAAGTCTCTATTAGAAATGACGTGACTTTAAAGCCAATCTTACTAAAGGTATTGTCCTGGTCATTCCAATGAGAATTGGGAACTGTCTCTTTGTAATACATCTTTGGATGTGTTATTACTGTTGTAACAGGCAAAGAAAATATTTAAAAAAAAAAGTTTCTAAATTTCCTGTTCTGTGTCCTCTGGCTGCCATTAAGAAAGGATGCATGGTAATTGCTTCTGCAGACTCTTTACATAGGTCTTCGCAAATACTAGCTTACCCTGTCTTACTGTCTGCTCACTGCTCAAAAGCAAAACAGATTGACTCTTCAGCACAATGTGTTACGTTGATGTTTGTTTCTTTGGTTTTAAAATCTCCTTTTCCAAAACTAAGATAGTTGAGTGGATGAGCCGCTGAGGCCTTTGTAATGCCTGTATTAACACAATGATCAGCCTCAGGTGCTAAAGAAACTTAGGTTATCCTCAACTGCAGATGGTGAAATGACTCAGATATACACAGTTATAGTTGCACAGCATCTCTGATTCTAAGCTTCAAGTAATTTTTTAAAAATTTTTTTCAGATTTATATTTTGGGATAAAATTACTGCCATCCTTTATGTCTTCATCAGTTCTTTGATTTCTACAGTACTCCTGCTATGGTGAACGACTGTTGAAGTTCACAACTGAAAAAACATGTAGTTTTTATCATCTTCAAGGTGCCTATTTCCCTCCACCATTCAACTTTAATTTCCTCCACTGATTTAATTCCTCTTTCATACAGATTGTATGTATGTCGGATTGTCTCTCATTTCCTTAGCTGTCATGCTATTCCTCAATTAGGATACACATACACACAAAACAAAACACAGTACAATTTTAAGTGTGTGTGGATATCGTTTATCATGTATCCTCTGAACTGTTCACTTGGCCCTTACTTGAGGCCCTGACTGCTGTGTTCGAAAGCGTTTGGTCCAGATCTTGTTTTATCTTTAGAGATATAATGCGACAGCAGGAGATGGACTGATTTTAGCAGAAGCCCTCTGGCGGTCCTAAGCCAGGCCTACAGTGAAGATCTGAGAAAGAAAGCATGTTAGCATGTTCAGTGGTAATTCAGCCACTACTGGTCATTTGTTGAAACCCCAAATATGCCAAGTTCTGTGTTCCCCTTTTATGCTTTTCCTATGACCTCTGTTCTAAAGTTAGGAATAACACTCAAATTAAGTCATTTCAAGAGTCTTCCAGAATGGGAACTGTTCTGTTCACAGGAAACTTTTCAGAGTTGCTTTTGGGAGGAGCTATGGTAGGTGATGACTGAGCCTCTGCTTGGTGCTCAGCAAGGGAAAGTAATGCAAGGCTTGTACCCAGCCCTGGAGACTCCCGGATCCTCACCAAGGACTATCAGTGCAGGCACCAAGGACTACATCCCAACTGCCCAGGAGAACACGGGGAATTGGAGTACCTTCGAAGGCTAAGAACTCTGAGGTCATCCACTCCCCTTTGAATCTCCCACATGGGATGGAAGAAGCCCAAATCCTTCCTTGCAGGATCCAAGGTCCTTGGAACAAGATCCAGGAGCCCTGAGCAGTCCGCAGAAACAGAAGAACAGTAAACTCCCTTCAGGACTAGGGAGAGGAGCTTTTCTCTGGTCCTTACTTAGTTCCAACTTTGGATCCCCACCCTCTCTTGTAGTGACCATCAGGGTCATCCCTGAGGCCCCCCCAAAAGCAAAACAAAACAAAAAAACAACAACAAAATTAGAATAGATGAATAGAGAACAACAAGGAAAGCTTAGAACCAGACAGTAAATGGTCAGTGGGGACTCACATATACCTTACTAGGTAGGACACAAAAATAAGTTACTCCTCACTGGGGTATTGAAGATTTCTCTGCATACCCCTCCTAAAACTGTTCGGTGCCTGATCTGTTGACATATGCCTTGTTAAAGTTATTAGCCAGTTTAGACTATCCTAAAATCTGCCAAGTTCAGTAAAAATTATGCTTCAAAGCTATAGACTGCTAAATACAAAAATGAAAATAGACATGAGACAGCTGAATAGTATCCTACAGCCATTTTAAGATGGATAGAAGCCAGTTGTATATAAACTAAAAGTGAAATGTCAATGAAGTAGTCACAGGATGTGGTTAAGAGCTTGCATTTTCTAACATATCAGTCACTCAGTACCATGTCAATTAACTCCATAATGTTGTAAATTGTTGTTGATGTTGTGTTGGGGCTTTTAATTGGTCGGAACAATATTCTGCCAGCTCTGCTTTTAGACCAGAGATGGCCTCCCCAAGAAACTGTTGAATTGATCTGGACAATAAGATGCTGGACTCTATGCATGGTACATGCTTGCAATGAAAGAAGCATGACTGAATTTGAACTGTAATACTGCAGTAAGGTGGAGGAATCCACCATGGGGAGGGGTTGGGGGAATCCCAGAGCCTATGAAACAATGTCATAAAATGAACTGCAATTTAAAAAAAAAGCAAAAAAAAAAAAAAGAGTATTCCTGGATGTGCTGGTAGCTTTATGGTGGAAATCGTAATTAGGCACAGATCAGAATGCATTAAGATAGGTCATGGCGATCTGTAATAGGTCTGTTATCTCGCTCATCTTCAGAAAGGTGTATAAATTTTAAAGTCATACTTAATCTTTTTAAATCTCATTTTGTGTTGTTGTTATTATTAAGATTAAATAATATTGTATGCCAGACACCTAGCACGTAACATTTAATGTTATATTACTTTGTTGATCAGAAAGATTAAGTACACAGTGCATTATTTCCAGGAACCCTTTCTTCCATTTCTGACTTTCTCTGATAATATATAATTTATAGAATCACAAAATCTAAAATCATCTAAACTCTTGAAGTTCTTGCTTTTAAATACTGTTTTGGAGTAAAAGAGCACCATAAATTTATAACTCGGGCAGATTCTCTTTCAGAGATTTCTTTTGGATCTTATACCTCAGTAATCCTTAAGTTTCATTTGTATATATATTTTTTCTTCTTAATGAATAAGAATTTCAGATACCAGTCTTTGCGAAAGACAATAAAAGTCATTGTTGTAGAGATTTTTAGATAGGTTTTGTTCGAGCAAACCTCATATAGATAGGAAAGCAAAATAAACTCTTTGTTTTAAAATTCCTGAGATAGAAATGCAGACCACTCTTTTTATATGGATTATCAAGATTTCCCTGATGTATTTGCTAGTAAGATTTAGACTTTGTATCAGGTAGTTGCAGCATAAGTTAATTTGTAATTGGTCTTCCATTGGCTCGCTCTCCAAAAGGCTGGGAACAGTTAGGTCTGGGCCAAACTGTAGCTGGGACCCAGGCACTCCATCCTGATTTCCCACATAGGTGGAGGGTGGCAGGTGCTTAAACCGTCTTCTACCTTCCTAGGAACACTGGCAGAAAGCTGAATGAACAAAGCTAGAAGAACAATGAGAACTGGAACTGGGACTCCAGTTTGTAATGCTGGTTTTATTTTTAATGCTGGTACTATTGCGGTATACACATATATTAGTATGCTTGATTTGTCCTTGCTACTTAAGACAGAAACAAGAGTTGGTGTTGCCTATTTTATATGGATGAAAACCAGAACTGAACTATACCATTACCAATAAAACTTTGCCAAATTAAATACATTTTTATAATCTGATCATGAGAATTTTTGTGTAAATTCTCATTTTTTTTTTTGTTTTTATGTTGCTAAGTGTAATTCTTGTGTGTTTTTTTTTTTTTTTTTTGCTTTGTTTTGTTTTGCTTTGCAGGTTTATTTTATTTAGTTAAACGGCATAGTTAGAGAGGTCTTCCAAGAGCTTCTTCCAGGCCTCCCACATAGGTTCAGGGGCCCAAGCATTTGGGCCATCCTCCACTGCTTTCCCAAGGAGTAGGATGGGAAGTAGAACAGTTAGAATTCAAAGCAGCGCTCATGGGGGATGCCTGTGTCACTGCAGTGGCTTTACTTGCTACACCACAATGCCAGCCAATGCTTTTGATTTCTCTCACTAAAAAAGGATTTGGTGGAATTCTTTTAGCAAACAAAATTAGGAAAGAAAATTAAAGTGGTACATTGCCCAATTCTATTGACATTTAAAAGGAGAAAAACTTATAATAAATCAAACAAAGAAAGTTACAAAGCAGAAAGTAAAAACTTCCCCTTTCTATGTGCTTTTCTTTCCTATCTTCTCCAGTGCCTTCCAAACATAACAGGATTTAATAATTGTTTAATGTTTCCTTCCTCTTCTCTAAAAACTTTACTCTCATACTCTCATAGACGTACAAGGGGGCATCAAAAAATTCTTAGAAAATATGTATTATAAAAGACTGTGGATCTTTTAAAAATTGCATATAAGTAAGCATCTTTTCCTTTTTAACATAAGCTTTTTTTTCCCCATATTTTAATTTTATTTGAAAGTCAGAGTTACAGAGAGGAGAGAAACAGAGAGAGATCTTCCATGCACTGGCCTCCACTGGATAGCTACAAGGGTCAGGGCTGGCCTGATCCAAAGCCAGGAGCCAGGTACTCTATTCAGGTCTTCCACCTGGGTGCAGGGACCCAAGGACTCGAGCCATCTGCTGTCTGCCAAGGCCAGAATCAGCGAGTTGAACCAGAAGTGGAATGGCTGGGACTAAACCCAGCTTTGATTTGGGTTACTTATACCACTGGCAGAGGCTGAGCGTGCTACACCATTTTACCTGTCCCTTCCATAAGCTTTTTGAAGGAACTCTGTGTGTGTGTTTTTGTGTATGTGTGTATGTATCCTTCAGTTTGTAAAACCCTCAGGCTTTCTTACTTAAGCCAAATAACACAAAACCTTTATAAACATTTCCAAGTTGGATAATTGCCAGCCTATGATGAGGTGGTTTGTTGTTGCCACTTCTGCCCCACCCACCTATCAAAGTATAGCAATTTCCTGACTGACACCAAAGTTCCTTCCTTCAGTTTCTCTCCCGGGCTTTTAGCTCAGTGAAGACAGTTCTTATAAGGAAAAAGGTTCTATAGCAGCTACAGGTTTACAGGTTCATAGAAGTAAGAAAAATTCAAAAAGAAAGCTTTACTTTCTCTTTTCTAAGTATGTAATAATTATTTTGGTATTTTCTAGGATTGTATGCTTAACGTTGAAGATGCGTCTATTCCAGCATAACATTTTACCCCCATTAGAATGCTAACTTTCTACCCTGGGAAGTTTCTAGGTTTCTAGTCCTCTAGAGCAGAGCCCATCAGTGTACTATGTCTGTATTACCCAGTCTGGTGGATCTAGCCATGCGTTGCTGTTGTGAATTTGAAATATGCCTAGTGCAGCTGAAGAACTGAAGTTTTAATTTTAACTAATTTAAACTAAAATGGTTACACATGGCTAGTGGCACTCTTGTAAAACAGCACTGCTCTAGAAGTTGTTGTATCCTTTAAGAGCAGAAAATGTAGATCCAAAGTCCAGAAGAGAAGGTTCTTGGGCCTACAGGATTAATGACCCGAGTCAGTAAGCTGACATGTGAAGTGAAACTATTTAACCATGCTTTTGCTTTAGAACTCTCTTATGACAGGTATGTATTATGATCCTTTACACAGCCTAAAATATAACTCATAAATAGGTCTGTGTCAAAGAGGAAACCTTTGGCAGCACAGAATGTATGGAATATTATTTTTGTACTTCTGAGTGTTTCATGCAATGTAACTTGATATCCAAAAACTGAGAAAAATGTCCTAGGATTGTAAATTTTCTTTTCCATAGACTAGACATGAGGAAATAATGAAAAGTTCTAGAGAACATTCTTTTGTATTATAACAAGCCAAATTGAAGCTTTATTTATACATAACGCTAGAATTCAATACCAGTGATCCAATTTTCTTTTGGAAGAAGAGAAGCTATTCCTTAAAAATGTTATCAGAAATATTTGGAACATAATTTTCTGAACACTCGGTATACAAGATCATCATTTTCCTTGTGTTAGTGTATGGACCAATGAAGAGATGGCCCATATATTTTAAAAATTATTTATTACAAATTTTAAAATCATTTTTTAAAATTTGCATGTGAAAATGAACTTGAAAAGTGTCTGCATATTATGCCTCCCTCTTGGATTTTTACAGAATACAATAATAGTAAGTGCTAGAGAAAAATCTTGTAATAGAGAAATCCAGAATTTTAACCCAGAATTTCTAAGAAGCATGAAATTTTCTTTTGTGTATTACCTTTAAACATCACTTCAGGAAAAATGATAGATTATTCGTTAATCAACGCTTAGAATCTAAGTGTGGGGAGGAAATCTATGATAATGTTTCTACAGTATCCCTGCAAAGCTGTTATCCAGCATCTCTCAAGACACCCCTTTTCAGCAGGGGGGTGGATTTTACAAACTCAATGGTTTCAGTAAGTTCTTCATTGTGCAGCACTCAAACCTTGTCTTCTGTAGCCTCTAACCAGCAATTCTTCTCTAGATGTAAAAGTAAAATGTCCACACATAAAAAATGTATTAAACATAGTAACTAACCTGTCTGAATAAATTTTCCCTTATTTTATCTTATAGGCACCTTTGTGGGCGTATATTGCTTGTGCGTGTGGCCTCTTCATTTACCAGTCTTTGGATGCCATAGATGGGAAGCAGGCAAGAAGAACCAACAGTAGTTCTCCCTTGGGGGAACTTTTTGATCATGGTTGTGATTCATTGTCAACAGGTATGCTTGATTTTATCAGTGTTCAAAACAGTGTGCTTAAAAAGGTTTTTAGAATACATGATTTTTATGTTAAATTCGGTGTATTTCAAAAGACTAGTTATTTGTTCATTACTGACACTATTGGAAATTTGCAGAAGTAAATTTCTTTGTACTTCAGTTATACTGAACCCTAATGATTGTTTTTGGCACATTTTGTCATAAAAGGTTATTATCTTGTTAGCAATAGATAGTTACTATATTTGGATTTTAGGTAATCTGTCTTTATTTTTCCTTTTTCCAAGTAATAATTAAGTATTTTTAGAGACAGAAAACAAAAATTTGGAAAGTAAGTGATGGTACTATTCCCCATTTTTACTTAGTTCCTCATTTGTTTTCTTGTCATTTGACATGCATTTAAAATGTTTTAAACGAAACAGTTTTACTCCTTGATAAATATTTACAGATGGAGGTGCATGTCGAAAGCATTCTTTCAGTATGTACTGACACCAGCTTGCTTATTAAGGGGAGAGTAGCAGCTGAACTGTTAGCAGCTCTGAGTCAAGAAAAGCTCAGAATTTCTGATTTGTAAACGGTAGTGGGCCATCTTGAAAAGCTTGTCATTTAACCAGATAACCACAGAATAACAGCTATCCTATTTTTGGTTTGTTTTGAATGAAAGATTTCTATTGTAGCTAGAGTTCAAAAATGTTATCGCAAGTCTTTTTCAAGGTATGTGCCTCACTCAATTATATCTGCTAAATAAGAAAAACCATTACAAATATGACTACAGTCCCTTTATGATTTATGTCAGCCCTGTGTTTTTCTTTTTGGTATTCTGCCTTCTAATGAACATTTCCTCATTGCTGTGGTTGCTGTGTTGAGTCAGAAGGAGAAATTCAAAGGGCACACTTCCACATGCTGCTTCGTTTCCCTGATGTCCCCACAGGTGGTGCCAAAGCCGGTGCCAGAACCCCATCACTTATGCCATCATCCCATCTGCCTTCTAGGACCTAACTGAGCATGCATCTGGAGTAAGGAGCTGAGCCATGTGTGAAACCCAGGCACTCCGATGTGGAATACAGAATACAGACAGCTTGGGCCAAATACAGCCCCTGTCTTTTGACACTTTAAAGTTTTACTAATGTTTTTGTGAGGCAGAGACACCGAGAGCTGCCAACCTGCAGTGAACCCCTCAAAGTATACAAAGCTGGGCCCGAGCTGGGAACTTGGTCAGGTCTCCCATGCGGATGTCAGGAACCCGACTACTTGAGCCATCGCCACTGCCTCCCAGGGCCCACATTAGCAGGGAATGGAATCAGAAACCACAGGCACATGGGACACAGGGACAGGAATCAAACCCAGGCACTTCAGTGGAACTCGCAGGTGTCTTAACAGGCATTTATTTTTGTTTTTAAGATTTATTTATTTTTTACTGCAAAGTTGGATATATACAGAGAAGAGGAGAGACAGAGAGAAATATTTTCCGTCCAATGATTCACTTCCCAAGTGACCACAGTGGCCGGTGCTGTGCCAATCTAAAGCCAGGAGAACAGATCCTCTTCCAGGTCTCCCACGTGGGTGCAGGGTCCCAAGGCTTTGGGCCGTCCTCGACTCCTTTCCCAGGCCGCAAGCAAGGAGCTGGATGGGAAGCGGGGCTGTCAGGAACCTGGCACATTCAAGGCGAGGACTTTAGCCACTAGGCCAGAGCACTGGGTCCTTAACAGGCGTCTTGATCGCAAAACTGAACACTCCCCCCTACATTGTGACTTTTATTGCTCCTCAGTGCCACTGTCACTAGGTGAGGAGAATAAAAAAATGCTGATGTATTTTTGTTGCTTTCAAGAACTTAAGTTTCATCAAGTGAATTAATGAAGAGATTAGAATTATGTAGTAAAAGATAATATCCTGGTTTCCCTTTACCACATGTGAGAGTAGATTTTACATTCACAGCACGTATGTTTGCCTTGTCTTGAATCGTTTTGATCTCAGCTAATGGCTGTAATTCATATTATCCGGTCTTTATTGTTATCTTTCCTCTACAGTTTTTGTGGTTCTTGGGACTTGTATTGCAGTGCAGCTGGGGACAAACCCTGACTGGATGTTCTTCTGCTGTTTTGCTGGAACATTCATGTTCTATTGTGCACACTGGCAAACATATGTTTCTGGAACACTGAGATTTGGAATGTAAGTAATGCTTAATAGTAATTTTTATTTTAAATATGAACCGTGTTTCTGACAGATACAAATATTAAGAATTGTTCATATCACTTTATTAGTTTAATACATAGAAGTTTTAAAACATTACCATTGCACTTATTCCCTGATAGATTCTATCACATCACCCCGTTACTGGTTGCTTTGCTTTGTTTTGTTTTTGAATAAAAAATATCAAAGCCTTTCATCTAGGGTTTATAAAGCAACAGAGAAAAAGGACTCTCCCCACTCCCACCTTACTGCTCACCTAGATTTACCTTTCAGACACGCCAACGATTTTCCTCTACTGTTATTTACTTTTACTATTATTTTTAATTCCATGTTTATTTTGACAAATAGAAATGCACTTTCAGGAAAGATAATATAGTTTCTAAGATGAAAGATTACATCTGTAAAAATCTTAGCTCTTAAGAATTCTGCTAACATAAGCACATCATGTATTACTCTCAACCAGATAACTAGATAATTTAAAAAGGAAGCACAGGCTGTTTCCAAGCGTAAAAATGAATTGTTTCTGACTGCTAGTCCATTCTTCTTCATAAATACTGATGAATAAACCAGTCTCGGAAGAAGGTTGAGACATTTACTAGTTTAGTTAGTGTTTAGTTATCACAGATCCTATTTGCACTGCTCAAGTTGTTCTTTAACTTTTCATCACAAAAGTTCAAAGAGAAAAAACTGTGTGCTTCTTGAAATATCAAAATACAAGTCTTTGATTGTAAATGACAGAACAAATCTTATTCATTTTTAAGATGATTCATTACAAATTGTTTTTTTCATTTTCAGTCCCTGGTGAACTTAGTTTTTGCAGGTCTTAAAAAAACTGGGATGCATATAAATTCACATATTCATTACAGGTTCATTTTAAATATCTTTTGCTAAATTGATTTAAAGTAGAATTTAAGATGAGATTATAGCAACAACTAAATAATTACTAGTACTTTGGATGTAAACTATTAGAAGTTTGTCTCGGAATAATTCCAAGATAATTGGAGTTAGAAAATATAATTAAGACTCATCTAAAGGTGTTGCCTTTATTAGAAACAGTAGGAGACACAGGTGTCCATGTGCAAGCTATCTTCCTGTGGATTTATTATCAGTTTATAAAATGATCAATGCTCAGAAAATAGTGAAGAGTTCTGATAGAATAATTGAAAATGTATGCAGCTATTTCTTCCTCAGTATTGTCATAGTCTATTGTAGTATTCTTAGAGTGCTTCTGCTTTAGGTAAATCTACAAAATGTAATAGACTTCTAAGATCACTTGGTTTTGTAGTAATTCGGTTTTAATTTTTTGTGATATTGCTATTTTGAAAAATGGCAGCATTTATTATAGTTGAATTTCATATCATTTAAATGTCTTTGGTTATTATCTCACAGGAACCCTCCAAACCCTCATTAATTTCAAAATTTGTATACCAGTCCTAATGTATTCTGCTTCCTTTTTGAATAGTACAGCAGCTATATGATGTGGAAATTGAAGAAAAGAGAGTTAACCATTAAAGCAGGAGGAGAGGAAATAAGCAGTGTTTTCAAGAGTGACGATATCTTGGCTTTCTATCTTCCAGTCTTAGAATTTTCCTCATAGAAGTTTCTTTTAATGAAGTATATTTTTGGAGAATGCAAGCATGTCTATATGGTTAGATTATAAGATGTCTGCAGAGAAGAGGCTAGCAGTAAAGCTGAAGAAGATTCCAAAATTCAGAGACCTTCTCTATTCTTCCAAGAAATGTAATCCTTCTCCCGAATCTGTAGGGCACTTTTGCAAGACCTGCAGCAGGGAGAAGACCAAAGTACTGTTTACAAATACCAGTTTGTCGTTGTAGCAGAGGGTAGTTAGGAGTAGGCTGAGATACAAATAAGAAAACCCCTTAGGAAGCTTCATCATAATTAATATGAGGAATGATGAAGCTTGAATGAACACAGTGGAATTGCTATGGCAGGGAACAGGATAGGCTGGGGGGAGACTTAAGAGGCAGAAATGTAGGACAGTCTGTTAAGATGAAAAAAAAAAAAAAGAAAAACCAATTTGAGGGCAGAATTGGAATGACTCTGTTCCCATGTTTCAGGGGTTGGATAGAAGATAGAAAAAGGCACTGGAATGGGACTCCCTTTAAAATAAGAGTGCTAGGGAGAAAAATGTAGATGAAAGATTTTAGACATTCAGACAGACTGTGACTAGCAGAAAACTTCAAGAACAAACTTAAAAAGAAGCCCATGAGAATTATTGAACTGCAAGAGTCAGAGGAAGAATTCTGAATTGAAAAGCCAGAAAACGAGTACATTTTAAACATAACTGCTGCCAAAATTCAAAATGAGGACAGGAAATTCTGCATTGAATTGGCAGGATGAGCCGCCTGTAGTAGTTTCGGTGTGATGATGGGATAGAAGCCACTGTGTAAGGAGAGAGATATGAGTGGAATAAATAAGGAGATTACTACTTAACACACATTACCCAAGGTCACTTATAAAAATAAGTGGCTGTGATGGGAAGAACAAAAGTGTTAGTTAGAGGGGAGAGAATGAGCTCCAAAGAAAGAGGATTTTATATTTTTAATGACAAAATTACAGGCATATGGGCAAAAACCAAGTAAAGAAGAGATTAAAGATACAGAGGAAAAGAGAAAGAACGATGATTTATAGAGCAAGACTAAAGGGATTACGAAGAGGGACTAGAGAGGAGGAAACAGACTGAAGTGTTTCCTTGTAAAGCTGCTTAAAAATCTAAAAATATCGAAGCCAACTGAATTTCACAAAAAAAATAGAAATTGTTAGTGTATAAAGGGATTGGTTTTGCTCTGAGAAGTTGTATTCAGCACCCAGAAACCCTGTATTTGTATTAAAGCAACCTTGAATTATTTTCTGAATAAAGAGCAGTCAACAATATTCTTAGATTACACTGTGAGTTCCTTACATTTAGGAAGATATTTGTCAAAATACCAACACAATAACAGCATGTGGAATATATTTGGACATTCCTAAAGAAATCTTAATTATTCTGCATTTCACATGTTGTCATATATAATAGACATAAAATAGGTTAAATATTGAATTATATCCTCTATGTACATAGGAGAAACTCAGAATTTTATTTTGGTTATTGAAGAAAGGACAAAGTTAGCTATCAGATAAAGTCTGAACATAGCTAAAAGCTGCGTTGCAGAGCATGTTGATGCCTTTATTAGGTAACTAGGCAGATCCCTCTCCCTGTGTTGCCCCTTGACTATGCCAAGTAGAGAGCTGACAGATGAGTACCCTTCATTGGCCTTCTAGGCCCTGCCAACCCCGAGGATGTTCATTAGCCTGAATCTAAAAGTTCATGGCGGGAAATGGAGTTAGAGAACATCATGGGAGGATCGTGTTCACAGAAGACAGGTATTATGAGCTGAAACATTGTAAATAGTTGTAAAAACAAAATGTGACTTAAAGTGTTTATGGATTGTCCAAAGCCCTCTCTTAAAACCTAATCCTCTGTATTGTATAGGATGATTTTTAGAAGGCAAATGCTGAAATACATGGCCTCAACTCTATGTAACTTGTTTGTATAGAATCATTTTTATAAATTAGATGCATAGATGCCCTAAACAGTCTTTAATAAAAATTTCACATAAGGAAAAAATGGGTCTTAAAAAATGTTACTTACTGTAAAGGCAGAGCTCTTATTTAAACTACTGTTTCAGCAATTGTAGCAGTAGTAGTAATAATAATATTCCTAAAGTTTTCTTTTCTGAGGAATAAAGGAAATTGAACTCAGGCCAGTATATCTTGGCTCGAATGTTAACAAGTGTTGTCAACAAATTACCTTATCGTGTTTCAGCTTGGGCAAGGAACAAAGCTTTCACAGGGCTACATTACCTCACTTACAAAATAAGAGATTTGGATTAGATTATCTCTAATGTTCAATTTGTAAAATCATTGCATCTGTTACTGTTATAGATACAGTTTCTGGTGTGCTCATTTTAGGCAGAATATTGATCTGCACTCTCACTGCATTATTCACCTCACACTTCTACAGTGTCATACTGTGCCACCATTTATTTCTGTATAAGTAAATTAACTTACCATTTTTCTGTAGTTAGAAAAAATTCAATGTGTTCCAATAAGAATCTCTCAAATCTAATTTAATTCTGTAAGCAGTTTCTAAGGAATAATTGATTTAAGGACTCCAAGTAATGAAAATTACTAATGTATAATGTATTTCCTGTGGATTAAGAATTTAGAAACATTCTATCAAACACCTGTATCGAATCTGCATATTTTTAAATGTCTAAGGCTTAACACATTAGTCATCAAATACCAGATCTTCATTGTAGCTTTTAGTTTTTCGTTTTCCTATGTATATTATTTTCTGAGCAGTGATTCGTTTATTTGGACTCCAATTCCATCCATTTAATTTTATCAGTTGTTATAGATTATTCCTTAAAACACCCATTTGTGTTAACCTAGATTGCAATTTGAATTCTCATCAAATAAAACCGTAGACTTACAGTCTCGCTTGTGTTCCTCAGTTCTTAGTTTTGATTAGTTTTTTTAGAAACCTATTTCCTGCTACTCTTTCTGTAACCAGAAATGTTCTGAAACTACTTTAATGGTTGACAGAATGTTTTGCATATTTTTATAACTAATAAACTTAATGTGGTAGAGAATTGTAGTGCTGGTATCGATTTAAAGAGAAAGGAAAAGGAAAGATTGTGAACTAGGAACTCTCAAGAAATAGAATAAGGAAATAGCCAATTTGATTTGTGTTTTTACTATGTCCAGAGAAGTCACTCTTAACTAGATTCTTTTCCTGTTATTCTTTTCACCTACATATGTTAAGTTTTTGAGATAGCTGAGGTAGGAATGTGATGAGGTTTGGAGCAGTGAGGGAATGTGATGTCATAGGAGATGGTCCTTCAAATTGCGTATTGGAGCTACTTGGGATGATTTTTGTTTGTACACACAGCCTGAATAGGTTCTGGTGCTTAGATGACCTGCATCCTAGACAGCGTGATAATTTGTACAGTCATCCTCACCGCCTCTAGGCAGTTGAGAGGAACACTGTGTTTTGGCACTGATGCTTCTAGCTGCCTACTCTGAGTCAATGGGTTAGTCTTCTACTTGTTTAAGCTTACATTTGAGTTTGTGTATGAAGTATTTGTGTATGCATAGGGACAGTCCATTATTGTGTAAATTACATCGTTGAATGTTAAGTGTCTTTATAAGGAGAATGTTACTTTTTAAATCTGCTTCTGTGACCTATTTTAATAGGCCTCTCTAGGAAGAGTTCTGAGTAAAGTTATATTGAAATGTTTGTTTCCTTATGCATAGATTCGATGTTACAGAGTCCCAGATCATAATTGTAGTATTCCAGCTTCTCACAGGAACCCTGGGGCCTTGGTTCTGGAACTTCACGGTAACTGCTAGAGTATTCATGCTGTCTGATGAACAATGGCCTGAACTCAGTAAAGGCAGCACCTTTGTCATGCACAGAGTGATTAAAAAGTGAAAACTCAAAAGTGTTTCTCGTGATATTTCACAGACAACTCATTAGGAAAAAATAATTTCAGCATATAATAGGGCAATAAAAATCCACCCTCTTAAACAATTTTTAAAGAAAAATTTCTTGTGACCTGCTGCTAAAGCCAATTTTCTTTTCCATTTATCCATTGAGCATAATATTTTTCTCTAATTTTTTAAAACCTTTCCACCATGAAACAGGATTTTTTTTTCTATTTTAAAAACAATGAAGCAAGCAGAGTTTTTCTTAGATAGTTGAAAAATCCTAATGTGGAGAAAAATTCTATTTATTCTCAGCTTCTGAAGCAAATTGTCTGAGCACTCTGGAGCTAGTTCTTCCACTTAGGTTAGCAATGATTTTGATTTAAACGTGTATGACAGAAACTATTTCTATTTGTTTTGCTTAATGTGCTCCTCTCTTCCTTGTGCTGTTAAAGCAGGATAAACTTGGCTTTCCATGTCACTGTAGTCATACTTTGAATGCCTTCTTTTTTTAGTTTTCTTTTTTGTTTAGCAGTATGTGTTTTTTCTAATGTAGTGCCAAATAGAATACATTTCTTCTCAGGGATATTATTTTGATCTTACTGCTTTTAAATTTCAGAACATTTCCTAGTAAATTTTTCTCAACAAGTTATCCCAGGATCCTTTATACTTTAGTATGTAAAGTTTACGCTTAGATTTTAATTTGTGTTACAGTTCAAAGGGAATGGTGGAGAGCTGTTTGTATGAAAATTTAGCAGATCATTCTGGCAATACAAGGCTATATTAAGTTTTCTACATTAAGTCTTCTTGCTTCCCCATCCAAGAATTAATATTAATTCAAAATATGATAGAAACAATGAATTATTATCAACAGAGTTGTTTCTGAAGGCATAGTGTAGCATTTTAATGATGGTTCGGGTGACAACTAGGGATATTCTGTGCATTTTTGTGAAATAACTTTTAGTGTGGACAGTACTGAGTGCTATAAATAATTAAGAACAAAGCTAATGCCATTGTCAATTAAATTTACAATGTATTTGCATAGTTATTTGTGAGATTCATTCCTGCAGTGTGCATAGTTCAGTGTCTAGTTCTCTTTATTATCTTTACACTATTCTCTGTTGCTTTTCTCCAAAAACTTGTAACTTTATGCTCATTTGTAGCGATCAATAGTTATAACTTTTTTGTTAACATTGTTGATATTTCACAATACTTTTAAAAATTTTTCTCCAGATACATTGATACTTTTTTAGTCACTAACTGAAAGAGTTTTTGTTTGTTTCATTTTTTTGTTTTTGCTTTTGGTTTTTTTTGCTTCTTTTACTCTGTTGCTTTAACTTATTTGATCATTAAAATTAAATTATCTGATATACTCTTTCCTTTTGCAAAGTTTTTTAAAAAAAGTTTTTCTCACTAATTTGTTTCTAAATAAATTTAATTCGTCAGCATCTAAACTTTTCATCAGCTTTTGCCTGTTACATTCTAGCATTGTTAGTGAACTTGTGTTCAAATGCAGGGCATTGTCCTGAAACTCAGACAGCTATATGAAGCTTAGAATAGATGTTTTCCCCATTTGCTTGATAGAGTAAAAAGAGTCTAAGCACTAAATGAACGTCTCTTTTTCTCTAACTGGAAAAATCTTACTGAGTAAAAAGTGATTTTTCCCCCAGTCTCCTAGGGTATTTGGGGTGATTAGAAGAGTTACAAGTGTACTGTGCTTCCTACCCTGCCTCTTAGCACAGAATTAAGTATCCAGTATCCATAATATTAAGACCTGTGTTATTAACTCCCATTAGGTTACAGATTTCTTCTGAAACTGCTTGTGCTAGAGAGAAGTAAGTCCATGATTCCTAACTCTAAGACCAACACTAAGTAAGATGAGATGAATTTTCATTTTGTTCTTCCATTTACAAAGGTAATAGGCTGTGCCTTTGACGTGAGTCCTCTGCTTTATTCCTTCCTGTATCAGAGCACTTGTTCTGCTCTAGCCTTTCGAAATACTTTTCCCCAATTACTCTAAGATAGTCTATGAGCTTTTCCTTTTTAGTCTCAGGAAGTCTGAGGATTTGTATTATGATTTATGTCAGAGGAAATACTGTTTTTGATAACTCAGCTTATTTCAACAGTAGACACATAGCTTTGTCTATCTCCCCTGTGTATAACACTCTATGCTGGAAAAATAATACTATAATAATAGGTACATATAATTGGGGCAGGCATTGTGTTTTAGTGGATAAAGTCACCGCATGCAACACCAGCATCCTGTATTGGCAGTGGTTCGTGTTCTGCTGCTCTGCTTCCAGTCCAGCTCCCTGCTAATGTACTGGGAAAAGTAATGGGTGATGATCCGAGTATTTGGGATCCTACCACCTGTGTGTATGACCTAGCAGAAGCTCTTGGCTCCTGCCTTCAGCCCGACCCAGCCCTAGCTGTTGGGACTAACTGGGGAGTGAAACAGTGAATGAAAGGAAAATCTTTCTCCCTTTCCCCTTACAACCTTCTCTTACCCCACAGTAACTCTGACTTTCAAATGAATACATGCATTAAAACACACACACATAATTATCACTTGGCTTTATGGCTAATGTTAATTGACCATAAGCTAAGCTTGCCATGCCCAATTCGCCTCTTATCAGTATAGAAAGTAAAAATGTTATATATTAGCTTTTCATTACTACAACTAAACACCTACGTCACTATTTACAAAGGAAGGAGATTTATTTTGTCTTTATTTGTGGAGATTCTCAGTCCAAGATCCAGCAGGAACCATTGGTGAGGTCACAGCATTCAGTATGAAGGAAGGATCACCTGGTAACCCAGAAAACAGCGAGAGACTCTGTAAGAACTACTTTCCAAAGGTACACCCCCAACCCCCAGTGTCCTAAGGATCACTCAAAAGGCCTATCTGCTAAACACTGTCATTGGACAGTCCTTACTCTAAGCATTAACCAATAGCAAGATGTTAGGGACCTACCTGTGTTAAAAGACAGGTAGGCCAAACTAATATCCAAACCAGAGCATATTGGAAAGCAGTATTTTGAATTTCTAAACTAATCTTTATTTAACTGCACCCACATATCAACCCACAGCTAAGATTTCCAATAAAATCTGTATGATCTAATTGCATGTAAGTTCCCTACAACTTGAACTACATTTACAGATTCATAGTTAATAGTAATCCTTAAGTACAGTTCTAAACACCTGGCTTCAAATAAGTGACTTTTTTTTTTTGAAGATTTATTTTATTTTTATTGGAAAGTCAGATATACAGAGAGGAGGAGAGACAAAGAGGAAGATCTTCCATGCATTGACTAGCTCCCCAAGTGACCGTGACCACAACAGCTATAGCTGTGCCAAGCCAAAGCCAGGAGCCTCTTCCAGGTCTCCCATGTAGGTGCAGGGTCCCAAGGCTTTGGGCCATCCTCATCTGCTTTCCCAGGCCACAAGCAGGAAGCTGAATGGGAGATGGGGCCATTGGGATTAGAACTGGTGCCCATATGGGATCCCAGTGCATTCAAGGCAAGGACTCCAGCCACTAGGCTACCATGCCAGGCCCCAAGTAAGTGACTTTTAAACATTTCTTTTTAACAGTAACTCACTAGTTAAATTGTACAGATGGAAATTTCTTTGACATTTGAATCTGTGCCTTAGTGAATATTCTTTAAGAAACTAGTAACCAAACCAGATTCCAGCACATTTATATTTACTCCTTACAGTTTAGCTAAAATGTGCTTACAAGTTAAAGGCAGGTATGTCTTTAAAATATAGTTACATGTGGGAGAAACATAAATTTAGTTGTCTTTTATTTATTTTAGAAAGAAAAGACACATTAAAAATTCTGGACCCTGATGGTTAGCGTGTTTATCAACTCGTAGAGAATGCCATTTAAAACCTTTCGTATTCCTCAATACTTTGTCTTGGAATTCCTACAAAGTACATATATTAGATTTCTCTCAACACTAAAAATAGAAGTGAAACTTTCAAAACAGAACTTTTAGTCATGTGTATGAACAATATGGAATAAACACCTTGTCACTCTTAAAAGCTGTTTTAAAGTTCCAGGGTGACAGGTGCATTTTGTGGTGATGACGGTTCCTGACATCCTTCCTCAAAGCAGAGGTTCTTTGCTCCCTTGTTTAGAAGTTACAATTAATCACTTGTGTTAACTTTGTTCTCTCCACCTGGGTTCTCAATCAATTAGCCATTATAGTGTTGTAGGGCTCGATTGACCCACTCAGGTGGGGAAAGGCACGGCAATAATGAGTATTACAGGTTATTTCTACCTTAAACTACCGTCTTCTGTGGTCTCTCTTCAGCACAATGGGAGAACTTGGGCTTTACACCTGATTTGCTTTTTCCCATTTCCTTTCATGACAAGGTCAGAACAAGTTTCTTTCTGACTTGTAACTGAAGCATATTCCTATGAAAATATTCAAAATGGGAAGCAATACCAGAACAGATGCTCAATACCTGCACGTGTTCCTACATGTAGTCATAAAACAACAGAAAATTGGGTTTACTATCATCTAGTTTAAGCTGTAGAAATCAAATGCTCCAGATAAGAGATTTATTCCCCCCCCCCTTTTTTTTTTAAATCACTCTAGTGTTTTAAGGTACTCTTCTACCACATATCCCCTGAATTTATTTTTGTTGGAAAGGCAGATTTACAGACAGATAGACAAAGGTTTTCCATCTGCTGGTTCATTCCTCAAATGGCCACAAGGCAAGAGCTGAACTGATCCAGGAATGTCTTCCGAGTCTCCCTTGTGGGTGTAGGGTTCAGAAGTGCTGTGCCATCCTCCATGCCTTCCCAGGCCACGGGCAGGGAGCTGGATGAAAACTGGAGCAGCCAGGCATGAACTGGTGCCCATGTGGGATGCTGGTACTTGAAGGTAGAGGATTAGCCAAATGAGC